CCCCCCAGGCAAAGCTAGATCAAGTAAGGACTTTAGCATTGATAGTAGTGCAAACACATGAAACCTTCCTCTGGGGTTTAAAAAAAAAAAATCAGGACAATTTGAATCTAAATATTTCAAAAACAAGATTAAGAATGTGAGTATGCATAAGTTGATATATGGCCCTTGTCTATATTTCCTATGCTGCTCGTATTGTTATGTATGTCTGCAGAATGCGCCTCAGTATTTCTCTGCAGGACTGTGCCGAAACATTTTTTTATTTTGAGAAATATGATTTTAGAGCAGCAACAGCATCATTATTCCGTTATTATTATTTCAGGGGAATTAACAGGTTGCATGGTTTATAAATTGTAGCAAAATATAGAAAAATACCATCAAAATGCCTCAATTTCAAGGTCAAATTTTAGGTATTTTATTTATTATTACATCAAACAGAGAGAGGCTGTAACCTGCATCATGTTTGGCTTTTTTGCCCTATAAAAAATTTGACAGTTAATCAATTATAAACACTTTTTTAATTTGAATTCCCTGTTAGATGACTTATCAATTAACTGATTTATCTATATCCATTGAATTTGATGAAATATCTTACAGTAAGTTGGTTTTAAAGTTGTCTAACTGTAAAAACTGAGCCTTGGCTTGTAACACAGTTACAGCTTCCCTATCATAACTTAGTCCAAAGTTGTGTTGACCTTTCCAACATGACTATGAGCTGAGCGGTAACCATCATGTTCACCACAGAGGAATGTGACGCCTCCTAAGGTCAAATCTCAGAATTAACAACAGTGGGAGAACCATTTTTAGCTTCCCCTCGTTCATCAAACAACACAAACTCCATGCACACGTCGGACAGCAAACGCCTATTAGAACGTGCTCCCGTCTAGACGGCGTTTAAATGACTACCAAATGGTTTTCCACCAGGCCTTTTCCAATAGCTCCACTAAGGTCATGGAATTTACCCTCATGTTCAGAGCAGAGACGCTGGGCCAGCCCTTGTCTTTCTGTGAAGCACAGCACTTTGGTTTGGAGCCGCTCAGCAGACCAGAGTAATGTTACTGCAGTAATGGGCCATTTATGACCTCCGGCTCTGCTCGTCTGGACATCTGGGTGTGCATGGCTGGACTTGTCTCACAACAGCTACTCAGAAATAAATCCTGAGGTGTATATAAAGCATCAGTGTGCAGAGGTGTAACAAGCTCCAGTTTTGTAACATGCATGTAGCTATTGGCAGAAGGTTCTTACTGAATTCTTAGAAATGATAAAGAGTTTTGGGGAAATGTGAACATATATGTTTTGTCAACAAGAGGTCCTTTTTCATCCGAAAGTCCTGTGAATACTGTTTAACTGTTGTGCTCAGTATGGAAAGCCTGCATCATCAGGACTACAGCTGTATCTAATTATTCCAGGAATGCTGGGCTTTGTAAAAAAAAAAAAAAGTTGTGCAGAATATGTGCTGGCTTTCTCAAAATCCTTCTCTTCCCCCTCTGTTCCCTCTCAGCTGAGCTCCTTTGGCAATGCCACAGTCTCCCCTCTGATGAGATGATGAGGACCTACACCCGCGGGGCGCCCACAGTCTTCTTCCTAAGTCTTCTGTGGCCCCTGCTTGTCCCGACGGTGGTGGCTGCGACGGAAGTGGACCCCAGCGGAGGAATCCCCTTCATGGGAGGCAACTATGATGGACATCCCATGCTGTACTTCAGCAGGGGGAACGTGGAGGAGCTGCAGTACGCAGCGGCGGGGACTCACCGGGACATGGCGAGGAGGATTCGTGTGGCTGGGGAAACAATGCTGGAGCGCCGGGAGGAGTACCTGCCGCCCTGGAGCCCCGCAGAGTTCAGCGCCCGCTGGAACGAGGTGTACGGGAACAACCTGGGTGTGCTGTCCATGTTCTGCCTGCTGTACCCTCACAGGGCCGGGGCCCTCGACCTGGCCAAGGAATACATGGAGAGGATGGCGGCTCAGCCTAGTTGGTAGATTTACTGTCTTTTATTATTTCATCTTTTTCAGGGCTCCAGAGTTCGACTAAAAGTGCGCCTAACATTCAACTGGTCTGTCTATGTGTATTTGATTGAGTCCTGTCGCTTCCTCACCTCCTCTGCAGAGTTTACACTCACACACACACTGACACCACACAGACACACGGACAGTGAAGCAGAGATGAGAGAGGCAGTGAACAAGAAGGAACATGTCGAACGGTGGCGATGACAAAAAAGTGCGCATACAGGGTTTATGCGATGGAACGATTAGCGCTGCTGATTCAGGATCAGAGCAGAAGAGGTGGTTGGTTTTTACCGTGTTATAGTTTCTGTCTGAGTTCTAATTCAAATTTCCAAGTGAATTTTTAGAATTAAGTTCATTACTCTTTGAAAGGGTTTAGTTGCATGATCATGCTATGATAGAATTCTTGCACCAGGGGTTTAAAATGCTTTCACAGTGAGGACAATAATATAATTTATCACAATCATTTCTTGGATAAAATATCGAATAACAAAATTTGTTATTGTGACAGGCTTAATTTATTTCATATCCAGGAAAAATTGGTATTGTACAAGGAAATATCCTGAAGAATCAATATTCAAACTAACCCAGCCCTTAAAAAATCACAAATGCATGTCAAGAAAATTTAATAGCCAAAAGTCAGATGAAAAAGTTGGTCTGCAGCCCTGTATTTAGTTTCACACTGAGAGATTTAAGGCCTTGTTCAACTGTCGGCTTGTCGTGTTAACATCTACAAAAGATATATGAACCAGCCTCCTGTTTCTTTTCCCAGAGAAAAAGTGAAAATGTAGTCAGGAGAGTTTACAGATGCTACCTAATATCTCTTTTCACCCATATGTGTACATCAAAAGGATTTTGGTGGCTTTTCTACCCCCCCAATACCCACAGTGTTCCGGTTTCTCTCTGCTAAAGATGCACTTTAGTCTGAAAAATCTGTGGCACAGGAAATATGTTTAGCAGCTGTGTGCGGAACATGCACCCCCTGATGAAAGGAAATGAAACGTTCAGATGTGAGCTGAACAACAGACAGGGACTGAGTCCACTTTGCCTTAATTGTGAGTTATGAAAGCCGAAGATCCTGCAGCTCATCAATCATGTTGAAATATCTTGCTGTAATTTTAGTGTTCAGACTTGATTGAATCAGTGAAAGTTTAAATGTATATGTTTGTTTCTATATACAATTTATCTATTTCTTATTGTCAGTGTCTTCAAGTTAAATTTACACTGCGTTGTCACGTTGATATTTAAAGAAGAAAATCTGTCTGAACCATTTGCAATAAAAACAGACTGAACCGTTATTAATACCTTGAGAAGTCAACAAGTCAGCAGACTCGGCCTCCTCAGAGAATGTCTGGTCTTTTCAGAGTCGGCCGGGACTGGACTTAATGTTAGCATCATCCTCAACAGAGCTCCTGAATTACCCTAACAATTTGATTAAGCTCAATGAACATTAGCTCTGGCTGGCAGGGGCAAAATGCCTGAGAAGTGGATAAGAGCCATTCAAGTTCTCCTCAGCTTTAAAAGAAGGAGGGTCTCAGAAAATGATGCTCGGTGAATATTTGCCTCCGGTGTCGGTATCCATGGTAACCTCTGACTGTTCATTTACATACATTCACAGAAAGAGAATTTACAGTCATCTCACGGTGACCCGACTTTCACAGTCATACGTTCATGTACAATTTCGGGAAATGAATATTAGTGCCCAGTCATGTCAAGACAAAGAAAAATATCTGGCTACTTGATCCAAACTATTAAAGGTTCAAAGTGTAATATTCACAGTATATAGCGACATGATGAGACTAAACGTGACTGACAGGCATCGTGTCAGTGAGTTTACCACAGTAACACTGTTATTATAGTTGTGATCGCTTGAAACAAAGGGAGGTCTCTCCCGGATTCACTCGCTCTGCTGATGTTGTTGGTCATTTTACTGATTACTGACTAGATGAAGACTTATTTCTGCGTCTTTGTTCTTAGGTTCGAGTGTTGTTTATACGAACGGCTGGTTTGTTGATATCCATTTCCATCGTCCTCTCACATCCCAAGTCCTTCACATATCAGCTCAAATGCTGTTATTGTGAAGCTTTTCAGTTATGCTACAATATGTTCACACATTGACGGTAAAAAAAGCGAGTGATACATTTAAATTACCTCCTTCTCTGACCTAGATACAGAATGAGTCTTAAAGTGGGAGAATGTGAGAGATGTGTCACATTCTCTCACTTTAAGATTCAAATACCTTTATATTGAGTTACAGCTTAATTTTCTTTTAGAAAATTAAATGGCACATCTTCCTCTTACAAATGCAAAGTTGAATTAATCGGCAATAAAGCACACCGCTTGTCTTATGCTGGTATGACCATCAGCTTATTCTTACTGAGTCACTTCACTGAATTTACAAATCTCACCGTTTAACCTGTGACTGTCTTTTTTATCAAGTTATCAGAGTATTTTTTTCCTCATAATACTTGATTACAAGTTTTTGCTTGTAGTTGATGTTCTTGTAGTTTTTGTAAGCTCAGTCAGCTCCGTGTCAGTTAGTTGGTTTTCACATCATTCACTGTATTTAAGTTCCATACCCCCCCTGCTCCATGTGGAGAGCGAGCCGAGTCGAGCAGCTTAATCCTTTTCTTTTTGCTGTGCGGCTGCTGTGCCCTCCTCCAGAGCGAAGGGGATTTTCCAGCGTGCTCATTATGCGGTATTATACATTTTTCACAGAATCAGTTTGTGTGCCACAGCGCAGAAAGGAGAAGCCACCGAGCATGTGTTTTCACGTCTTGTGAACACACTGAGTTTTCTCCTCGCCACACTTTTATTATGGTCACTGAGTCTCTGAGGGCCTCTGCACAGCCGCTACAGGAATCAGTCAGCTGTGGTCTTCACACCCCTCAATTATGTCTGCAGCAACTCCACCAATCATGTTCCAATGGGCTACTTCTACTTTGTGGTGTAGTGGTGCCTGCACCTTTTTTTTTTCTACACAGTCTGCAAAACTCACATAAGTCAAATTGTGTGTTCTTCTGCATAATTTGGCTGTAATTTTGTTCCAGTTTGTCTTTTTACTATATGCGTAAACTGCAATACAAAGAACTTTTAATTTTGGTTGATTTTGACGCTGCTCTGTGCAGAAGAGGTCGTGTTTCCGCCGTTTCCTGTCGTAAAAAAAACCTGGTCTGACTCAGCATGAGCATTTGTTACAGAAGAAGAGACGCAGCTGTTTGTAGGATGCATGGTGATAAGGGAATAATCTTGCAATTCACAAAATAAAATAAACATTAGACATTCCTGTTTAGGGGGAGGAAATCCTTTATAATCACGTAATTCTCTCCATCTTTCACCTTTTAGCTCGTACTTTATCACTTGCTTTTTTTGTTCTTCTGTCGTGTCTCCTCTTTTTAGTTTTGCTGAGCATGCCCCAGCATCAGCCATGATTACAAAATGCAACGTTGTAAATAATCTCAACCGACTAGCCTGCTTCTCATTGTGAAAGTTTGCAGGCGGAAATGTAAACATAGGCTTTTCCGCCCTGACTGCCTTTAAAGGTACAGTGTGTAGAATTCAGTGATATCTAGTGTTAAAGTTGCATGTTGCAGCTGAACACCCCTCACCTCACCCTCTCCTTCCAAACATGAAAAAGAACCTGTGGTAGCTTCAGTTGTCATAAAAACTCAAAAGGTGTTTAGTTTGTCCAGTCTGGACTAACTCCGTAGAGAGGACCGCGTCAATGTAAATATAAAGTATTTCAATATAAAGGTGGTATATTCTGAGGTAAAGAAAACTACAATTCATACAATTTAAATGAAACAAACTAGTGAAAACATCATGAGGATTATTCTACATTAAATTTCTGCCAATAGATCCCTTTCACCTAAATCTTACACACTGGACCTTTAATTGACTTTGGAAATAGTTTATAGAAAAAGCCAACTTTCAACCCGATTGTCTCCTTCGCTGTAGGTCACAAAGAGGCAGCAATAATAAAAATGTGGCCGTTTCACCAAAAGCCCAAATATCACTGACACACTCTCTAAACTCATTTGTGCACCCAAATGAATACAGGGTTTATTTGGTGGAATAACTTCTTCACAGTCAGATGAGCAGAAGTTCAGATGTGAATCATGTGGAGAAATGAAGATCTGTCCCAACAGGTTTTCAGGGCTCTGTTTACCCAGCATGCCAGAGTAGCCGGCGGGCTGCCACAGTGTATAGTAATGGGAAACACTGCAGTGACATCATGAAGAACTCCTAATATTGCATGCATTTAAAAAAATGAATTTTTTCAGGTGTGTCTGAATCCTATAGAAATGTAGACACGACCTTAAGGTTCTATAAGTTGAAAAATAGCAATGACTATATTTCTCATGTTTAAATTTTGAACAGAATGTCACTCAACTTGTTTTTGTAAAAGCAGGAACATTGGCATGAATCATCCTATGTTCAAAAACAATTCAAATGCTTTTTTCAATAATAAATCTGTAGAGCGTCTTCAGACCGTACAGAACTCAGCTGCCAAGCCAGAGTAAACAGGTTGGAACAGATCTTTTTGTACGTGTTTTAGGTCCAGATTACTTCTGGCCAATCTATTAACGGCTACAGATAAATTAAAAAGCAGAAAGCTGATTCATTACAGTCACTGTGTTCCGCCTCTTTCGCCCTTGATGATAACTGTTTACCTTTCAGGCAACCAAAGCCTGCTCCAACATGATTGGTCACACTATATGGAAACAGAAACTCGAAGGACCCGAAACGTTTACAGAGTCTGTATATTCACAAACACTTATAGAGATTAATATGCCTAAATGCAATATATACAATATATGCATCACCCCTGTCATGCTGTTCACATCAACTGAAGTTTTTTAGATAAATAAACTTGCGAGAGGAATCAAGGCCTTTCACATGACAAGCAGACTTGATGAAAGCTGCATGAAGAGTTTGAATCCAACCCACAGACAAGGCAGAAAACCTGTGCTCTCTCTTTTCATATATATATATATACATATATATATATATATCACCAAACTACTCTGACAACAAGCGAAGGTGCCACCCAAAAAAACCATTTACAATATATTGACAAACATTTACAGTACTCCAAAACTCTATAACATTAAGAAATACAAGAAATTATATAAATAACACTAAAGCATCAAAAACAAGAACTTTAAACTTCCCAAAAGTGAAGCCAAATATTCTGTATTGCCCCCTGGTGGATGCCTGCAGTATAGCTCCTAAACTCCACCTCCTGCATGTTAGCAAGTGGGACATGTACCAAACAAAATGTATGTTCAGGTGCTCATGATTCTCATAAGTTTAGTTTTAATTTGTACATTGGCTGAGACGTTGTGATCGACAGCTGAGATTGACTCTTCATTGGACGTTCAGGTGTATTGATGGGACCTCGATATCAGAGCTCCACTCCAGGATCACTGCTGCACAGACTCTGACACCAAATGACATCACCAGCCCAAGTGATAATTCAAAGCAGAGGTCTCATGGCACATTCTCACATTCTGATAACACTGCACCAAACCGTGTAGCAATCATAACCACGTTATTTAACAGACACTTTCTTAAAACATGTAAAACAAGTGTGCAGTAAAATTCATAACAGTGTTGTACATGTGTGCAGTGAGGGCCAGTTTGCCCTCATGTAGGTTTTTTCCAGTTTCCCTGAATCTTCACAACGAAGTTGACGAGTTTTACGTTAGCACGAGCCCATAAAGTGAACACATTCATGGGAAATTTACTGGAATTGTCTTTTAATTTTAATGCCAGCTGTTGTTGTTTGAATCCTAAGAAAATGACTCATTGCTTGTGAAGATTTCAGCTTCTCATACATGCGCTGTAGCAGATAGTAATTTAACTGACAGCGAGTAAACCACAAGATCGCGTTTCATTTTCCATAAACTTTGCGATGACAGGAAGAATTCAGTGATCGGCGGCTAGACTGCGGATGAGGTCATGACTGTGTCTCTGTTTCAGCCGAACCCTGGTCAGCGGGAAACACTAAGCGAACACAGCATTTGGTTTTAACACATCTGAAGTTCATTTCTCCTAAATTAAATCAAGCAGCAGGATTGGAGAGCACCTTTCACCTTTTTTATGACACTAATGCTCTTAGATCCCGGTGTGTGAACGAGCACATGCTGCACTTTTCATGTCGGGTTCTACATCTCTTTATTGCTGCAGCTGTATTTCATGGTGTAAAAGGCAACTTAGCACCTTTATTTTTGCTTTCAACGTGAATAGTTGAGTTTTACAGCTGTGTTTAGGTGTAATTAAAAGAATCTGCACAGGGAAGGGTTTCTTGTTCATTACATAGCATTTAGGTTTTATTTTAAGAGGGAAATTCACACATGCTGCACTGTTTTTAAGATCCACGTGTGTGTCTCGCCTTCAGTCTTGTGTTGTTGCTGTGTGTCGCAGGCTGGTCAAAGATGCCCCCTGGGATGAAGTTCCTTTGGCGCACTCATTGGTTGGGTTCGCCACCGCTTACGACTTCCTGTATGAGTACTTGAACAAGGGCCAACAGGAGCGATTTCTGCAGGTGATCGGCAACGCGTCACGCCTGATGTATGAGAAGTCCTACGTCCGAGGCTGGGGCTTCCAGTACCTGCACAACCATCAGCCCACCAACTGTGTGGCTCTGCTCACAGGAAGCCTGGTTTACATGACACAAGGTGAGTGATCCATGTCTTTATGATGTGGCTTTGTTCTTGCCCTCGCTGCAGGGTTTCAAACATGTTTTTATTTAGGGATATGCAGGTCTGACACTGATATCAGATATCGGTCTGTCCTAATCTGATCTAATCCATCCTGTGTTATACAAGTTTGTTGTGTTGTGAACTCACAGTATCCCAAGTGTTTCCAGCCATTTTTAAATGTAGAGAAATCTGTCATTTTGATCATGGTAACAATTCATTTCATTTGGTCTGTTTCATTAGCTCGGCTCTTACCCCAGAGACATCCAATGTTTGCCAGTGTCAGAGAAACTCCAATTTCTACCATGAAAACTGCTTCGTTCATTGTTTTAACTGGATCTAATTACATGGTGTGCTGTTTTAGAGAGGAGGAGACCTCTGTGGATAAGTTAGCTCTCTGTAAAAACCTCTTTAACAATGATCACTGACTGAAATGATGACAACAGCGGTGAAGGCAACAATTCATATGATCCCACATCACTTCATGACAAAACCAAACCAAGTGTTTTTGTTAATGATTTGCGTGCTAAATTGGCAGAATATTACATATTGTGTGTTTAATGCTAATTCTCTGAGTAACTTGTAAACTGTTTTCTCTCCCAGTCACAAAAGTGCTTGCTCATTGTGGGAACTGTTGGGTTTCTCTCATTTTTAAGGTCTCTTTTTATGGATATGTGCCTTCAGATAATGTATATTTTGATTTTGGGCAATACAAATAAGATTGTATATAGTTTGTTTGCAAGCAAAATTACACATAACTCAAAAGAACAGATTTCCACTAATATGGGACGAAGGATGTGATATAAGTCAGGGGTGAAGCAACAACATTTTGTTGCGGACTCAGATCAGAGGGCAGATCCAGGAATTTATTTTCACTTTCTTTAACTTTAGGAGATTTTTCTACATTTTCATCATTTCCCCAGAGAATAACTTGTTGACTTTGATGGCAAAAATCAGCCACAGCAGCTTGATGTAATTTGATTTGGGGAGATATGTGCTCTGAACGCCATAAGGTTTTATTTCAGTTATGGTTCATATTTGAATCCAATTTACAGAGGTCGGCCATTGAAAGGTGAATTCCTGCTGCACGGCTTGTTTTGCTCATGGGGATTTGATTTCTGCAACAAAAAGCTCCGGTGCTGATGTGAACCAAATGACAGCTGGATTTCTGAGAGTGGCTGCGGTCACAGTGGTTTTATTCGGACAGGGATAACAACAGGCACAAAGCTGTGTAACACTCAGGAGAGTTAGAGCCTGACCTGAGATCAGAAAAAAGCCAGTTCAGCACGTCTGTGTTACCTGTGTAGTGGATTCTGCCTTGGTACTTTTGTTTATGACAGATTTTATTTGTTAATGTGTGCGTTACAGGAGAGCACATGCAGAGATGATAGGTTCATACCCAGCAGGAGGGAGAAAATAGCTTTTCAATAGATTGTTAACACGATGTATTTGCAGTGATCAAATAAAGAGCTCTTATTTCAGCTGCTTCATTTAGCAGCCTCACTCAGCCATCACGAGTGACACTGTGCAGAGGCCTGGCTGTATTCCATTATGCATCATTCATCTCTTGTGCAAAAGGATGACATAAGGTCCAAATATTATTCTGTTAAAGTGACTTCGAACAAATGGAAGTTTGTGTCGTAGCCAAATGGAGAAACTCATGCTGATGAAGAGCAAACTGTGCTTTCTGCTTGTTCTTTGGTGGATGTCTGTCACAAGGCATTTGTTTCCATCGTTGTGTTTTCTAAAATAACATAGTGTTCCACTCCACTGAAATAAAAGATGCCTGTGCTGTCATGTGTGTTTGGTTCTTGGTTTAGATAACCAGATAAGAATGTAGCAGCAGCAGCAGCTCAGAGGAAACATACATTCCAGATGCAGGTGTTTGCTTGTTGGCTCCTGGAAGCATCAGCTCAGTGCCCAGTTTAAAGTACAGCTCAAACATCTACCAGAGCAGCAATGCTACGTGAACACTACTAGTTAAACTGCACCTCCTGGTAGCATTGAAGTAGCATTACAAACTGATGTTTTTTGTATCAAGCTGTTATTTCCAGTAAGAAGCAGAGTAGTGTGACCAAACATTACATCAGTACATTTCTAACTATTTAAAGCTGTGCTGCAAGCCATGCCATATACATAACCCATACTTATGATGCTTGTTCTTGTTTTGGTTTGGTGACAAGGTGGAACAGTTTCTGAGTTAAATGTTGGCATTCATTACAGGTAGTCAAGTGGTGACTGATAAGAGCCAATTCAAATGTGGGTGTCTATACATCATTGTTTCCGAAAGTCTGGGTTTCTGCCAAAGACTAAACAGTGACCCTGGAGTTTTCAAATTAAAAGAGCCTCCAACATTTCCAAGAGTCTCTGTTAGACGGGCTCAAAAACTCCACAGTAGAGTGGTTATAGCCTGGGAGGGAAAATAGTATCAAAACACGGACAGTGTGGACGTGTATTTGGTAAAATATTGCAATAAAGAGACAAGGAGAACTGGGGGATAGTCATGTGACACAACTATAGCAAAGTATGTGAAGTCAAAATGCTTGCAACTGAGCTGTCATCCTCTGGGACAGATTGTATTTAAGCACTGACTATCTCACCCCTATTTTTAAATACATTGAAAAAGAATTACGGGTTGAATGTCCATAAGATCCTTGCAATTGCTCTCTACCAACTGTGTGGCATTCTGACTGAAGGAGTTCAGGTGCATGCAGTTAAAGAGTCACAGGAAGTTCAGTAAATCCTTGACCTTTTGCATTCCTTTGTACAGCAGGGTGATGCTGCTCTAGAGAACTAAGTTAAATATGGACTGATTAAATATGGATTTATTAGGAGAGCTCGAGAAGGAACTGTCATTTTCTCAGAATCAGTATGTCCTAATAGCCGTTAACTGTTTTGTCAAACTGCTGACAGGACACGTCCAACTGCCACTCTTTATTTCTATTAGATTATCTTTATCTTTGATCTTTGTGACATCATTCATCTGTCTGCCAAGCAGGAACTACAAAACTTGTTTTTGTGCACCAGGTGAGCAGTTTTCATTCAGGTGATAGGGCACCATCTTTGAGTGTGGTAGGTCCTACTGTACAATACATACATGACCAGTTTTCATGGGATACATGAAATACATGGGATTATTGTTTCTCATTAAGTCATTAGTTTACATGCTCAACACTGTGTAATCATTATTGTTTAATTTTCAGTTATGCAGCACTCTTGTGTATACATTACAGTGTTGGCAGCTGATAGTGGATAGTGGTGGTGGATCCTGATAGTGGTGGCGGATGATCATGGACTATGATTAAAACAGGACTGCTTGATATACAATACTTCTACTCACATGCTCTACTATATTGACATTGCTACTACTTTCATCTCTATAAGACATTTTCTTATGCACAAATACTTTAAACACTTTTCCATTATGTTACAAACTGTGTATTTTAGTCAATGTTGTTAATACTTTCTGCACATCGTCCCTGTTCCCTCATGGTTTCCGTCATTATTCATGCTGACTGCTCAGTTTCTCTTCTGTTTTTTGCCAACACTGAAACTGTTGCTTCCTCCTCTGGAAATGCTTGAGAAAATGCATCATTTCCTGTCCGTCAGAGGACTGACACCATGTACTATCAATTAATCATTAGTTTTGTCCTTTTAGGTCATTGTCTGCTCCTCAACCTCTACCTTTATTAATACCCACAATCATTGAAAAAGATGATAAATTCACAGAGCACTACCTACTCAGTTAGCTAGCGTAAGCAGGCAAGCTATTTTTCATTGGACTTGGTGAAGACCAAAACAGAGTTGAAAGCAGAGCGAATAATGTAATGATTTTTATGTGACCAAAAAGCAAGGCTTGAAATTGCTTCCATGACTATGCTGTGTGTTAGCATGAGTTAATAATCGAATAATTACATAAATCTCTCTGTTATTTTAAGGGCCCAACGAAGTGCAGTGTCAAATTCAGTATGATTTGCACATGGGAGATGTTTAATGTTAATAAACTGACCAGTGCTCTGTAGCAGCGGCGGCTGGGTCTCATAAACAGAATGGACGTTTTCCATTATTTCAACAGCACGGTTACGACAGCGGCAACAACAAGTAATCCAGGGATCTACATACCAAGTCGAGCTTCACCGAACTTTGAATAAACAGGTGAACAGCTCTTTGTGCGTGGATTCAGGGTTCTGTGAACAAAGTCCTGCAAGCTCCAACCAGGTTTATCACAGGCCAAACAAACAATACATTCCAAACAGGTTTTGAACAGGCACTGAACTAATGTAACAAATTTTGGGTGTTCATCTTGTTCCTTTGCTCTCTCCTCTGTAATTAGTGCAGCTTGAAATGAGCAAATAATACAATTTTTATGTGATTGTTGCATGTGTAGCTATGATAGGTCCACTGACAAAGGAGTCTGTCATAGCAGTTGGTTGCAATCGAATTGTTCATATTATGTTTTAACTTGAGGAAAGCGACTGAAGCATGTCGGCGCCTCTGTTGCTCTGGAGTGTGGTCCTGCACTGTATGAGTGCACGTCAAGCTCTGTTTGTGTAAATGTGGTCTTTGTTAATAGCAAGAGTTCCTGTTTGATGGTAAATACCTGCTCTGTGTAGGCCAAGCGGTCCCCAAGCCTAAACCAAACACGACTGGGGGACGGCTCCAGTGGGCGGACCTGCACCCGCAACCACCCAGCCGGTTACTGCCGATACCCCCTGGGATTCCTCAAAGAGTTGTTGCTGGTGTGTTTATATAGACGCTTGTTCTCACAGTAAATGCTGCGTGTGTGTGTGTGTGTGTGTTTGGGAGAGAGTATATGTAGTGTAGTGTCCCACAGTGGTGTCATGCTTTCCATGACCACAGCTAAATGTTGCGTGTGGAAGGTTTCTTTAGGTAACAGACTGAGAAGACTCTGTTTGCTGTAGCGCCGTTTTCCATTTATTCCATTTGTGACATAACACATAAACCACACTGCATAACACGGCCCTGTTCCCCTTAATACTTATAACATACGGTTTCTCACTTCATGTCCTGCTTTGAACATACAGTATTTGAATTAATTAAATTAAAACACTTTTAATGCCCCTGCTTTAAAAGAGGATTACTGCTCTCCTTATTTATGCAAAGCACATAAAGAACTATTGTTGGGCATATATGTTGCATAAATATCTAATGGGGACTAGCATAAATCAGTATCTCAATGATTGTACATGACACAGGAGTCATCTTTGGGAAGTATGTTCCCACTGGATCTTCCTTGATCCAGAAGTGAGAAAACTAGTACCACCACAGAGCTAGTGGCTAAATCTTGAACCATAGCTTGCAAGATTTCAATTTTCAGATATTGATCAAAGTAAAATTTGCACTTTAATAGATTGTCCATATTTTTGTCCAATCAGGTTTAGCTCATCACCTCATCTCCTACAACTTGGGCCCATTCCTTAATGAATTTTGATGTACAGATTAGTGTCTTGCACGGTCCGTTTTTGCAGACCTGACCCATTACCTGCAATGATCTCCAAATCAAATCTCGACTCACATGGACCTGTTAAAAGATGCCCCACGACCTGACCCGTCACTTGTACACATTCTACATGCACTCACATCAAATGGGTTGGGGCCTCCTTTTCCTCCCATTGTGGTGGTTAAGTTGTGTTATTGGAAAAGTATCTGTCAATTGTCAGAGAACCTTTGCTCCTTCAACTGTCGATGTGTTTCCTCAGTGACATCGTTTCCAGCTTGTGGCTTTCAAAAGCGAATGGATTTTTTTTACAAGCAGGAAAGCCACTGACAATATATTCACCACTGGCTATTTTTATCTGTATGTGACCCATTTTGATGTACTAGCTAGTTCAGTGTGAGTAGTGACAGTTATTTGAGTGGAAGTACCAGTCAGTAGCCGACCTGGTTCCGGACTCACACAAAAAACATGGTCTCATTAATAACAGCTGGACTGATGAACTCATACCTCCATAACCCACTTGGTGCAGTTACCACCAAGCCTGATGAAACATTTGTCATTTCCACCCTGCCCAATGCTCGAATAAGCCCTGATAAAACCCAATTTCTTCCAACGTCCCTCGTCTGAGGACTTTTCCCTGTCTCTCTATAGCAGCTTCGACTCTGTCCTGGACATCAGCCACCAGCAACACCTTGTACTTTAACCAAAGTTGCAGCCTCTGTAACGTGTGTCCAGCCCACAGTACTGAGCCACACAACACTACTTTGTTTAACAAAGTTAGCAGGGTCATATAGTGCGTCTGTGATAAATGGGAAACCAAAGGTCTGTCTGGACCAGATTTTATTATTATTATTTGTGAGGTGCAGGTTAATTCCTGTATTTGAACATAGTCATCACTTTATATTTACAATAAATATCTTGATTTGAGCAGAAGCTACTGGCAGTAATCACAATTTACTTCCTTCAAGAAATGCTCTTTGAGTGTTTAAATGCAGTTGCGAGTGAAAGTGAATCTGAAACTTAATGCCAACAAAGAATGAAGGTTGACCTAATGCTTAATATGTTCAGTATTTGAATTTCAATTTCATTTGTATAGTAATATCAAATCACAACATGCATTTTCTCAAGACACTTTACAAAGTATGGTCTAGACCTTAGGCAACTGAAAAACTCCTTCATTAACTGGAAGAAACCTCTTTCAGGACCAGACTCAATGTGGGCGGCCATCTGAGCAGAGAAGAATAGTGGTCACATTAAAAGGCAACTCTACAATGTGCAGTTCTTTAATGCAAAACACAATGCCACATATACCACCTGTTTTGAGGGAGTGGGCAATTGAAGGAATGCCCACCAGAGCTGTTGTACATGCACTGAATGTTCATTTCATTTCCACCTCCAACGTTGTTTCTTAGATTGTGGCAGTACATTCAATGTCCAAAATACCCTTTATGTGAAACTGTAGTTCAGCTCCCCTTTAAAATATTAACTTCACATTTTAGAGTGGCTTTTGTTGTGACCAGTCTAAGGCACATCTGTGCAATAATCATGCTTTATAATCAGCATCTTTTGATATGTCGCACCTGTCAGGTGGACGGATTATCTTGGCACTGTTGAGGTGCTCACTTAACACAGATTTCGATGAATTTGAGAATAAAATGTATGAGAAATTAGCCATTTCTTTGCATAGATGAACTTCAATTCATGAAAAATGGAAGCGAAAACCAAGGGTTTATATTTTTGTGTACCTTAGCTGTACCATGTATTCTTTGAAAGTCATATGGGGGACAGAGGCAAATCCCATGGCTGACATACAGAGACAAATAACCACACATGCTCACATTTAATCTCCATTCATCTAACCTGCATGCGACAGTGTTAATCACTGCACTATTCTGCCACCCCCAAGTTGACTCAACAAATCTAGAATAGAATTGAACATGGTTATACCAGTCAACTTAAATAACAATAACAGAAAAAAACAATGGCAGGACTAGGTATCTCTGACTGTATTCAACCTGTGACACCATCTCAACTCCCTGTTTTGCAGGTTACCTTCAGGAGGCTTATCTCTGGACCAAGCAGGTCTTGTCCATCATGGAGAAGTCCATGGTCCTCCTGCAGGATGTGACGGATGGCTCCCTGTATGAAGGCGTGGCTTATGGGACTTACACCACCCGCTCTCTGTTCCAGTACATGTTCCTGGTGCAGCGCCACTTTGCCATTGGCCACTTCGACCACCCGTGGCTTCTCAAACACTTTGCCTTCCTCTACAGGACTATCCTGCCCGGTAACTGTCACATCAACTGCTGTTTGTTTACTTTACTAAACGGCTGAGAAATGCATTCGATACACTTTTCACCTCAGTCAACAACCATGAATAAGTGGTTACTTAGCTGTGAATGACAGACACATCCAGCTAGTCCCTTATAGCCTATATGCCAAATTGTATAAATTAGATTGGAAATGAAAATGACCGTAGACTGCCTCATTGGAGAGTAGCTTCTCCTCTCAGCTTAAATGGGGTATGCCTGCATGTAGCTCCTACCCCCCTGGATGTCTTTTCGAAGCTGAGCTGCGATCTGAGGGACCTGTGGTGCCCTGGAAGTTTCATCTGAAGGTCAGAAGAAGGGCAGCAGCAGAGGAGGGGGCCCCGAGGTCAGGCTTGGACATTTCACAACCCCCGCAACAGTTTCTGTATTGTGTTTGAATGACACTGCTGCACTCAGACAGCACCTCTAATTACACCAGCCAGGAGAGCCCCAGACCCAGAGCCACAATGGCAGCTTTCTCCCTCCAGCAGACAGGAAGACAAGGCCAGATTATCCTCAACTGCCCCCTCAGCAGCAGACCATTGCTGTCCCCTCACTGACTGTGTATGTTCCCTGGTTAAGTGTTTGTGTACAGTTGACAGAAAGCAAATGGTAATTAGAATGTTGCTAACACCTGAAAAAGGAGTTTTCTTGGGACAAAATATTGTTTTCTCCCTGTAGCCAAATTCTGATTTTAAAAACAGTTGTGGCAGTTGGATGATAGCTCTCCTCTCCCTGATTGTGTGAATGTGATACAGATGACAGGAAGTAAATGGAAAGTGATATAGCATTACTGACAGGCTGTGATAGGAGCTGAAATATTAGTTGATATGAAACGGCCTTGTGTGTCCACATAGTGGTATTTATCTCTGCATATGCATTGTTGTCACTGCAGACATCTTCATTTAATGTACAATATAATATAATTTCTATATGACGCATCTATGGAAAGCCACCACTGACACTGTGTATTCATCATCTCATCCAGGATTTCATCGGACAGTAGCCATTGCAGATTCCAACTACAACTGGTTCTACGGGCCGGAAAGCCAGCTGGTCTTCTTGGATCGCTATGTGTTGCGTAATGGCAGTGGAAACTGGTTGGCAGATGTGATTCATCAAAACAGGGTGATGGAAGGGCCAGGGCAGGCTGGAAAGGGCCAGCGGTGGTGTACACTCCACACTGAGTTCATCTGGTAAGCTGCTGAATTTAGTTTAACAATGGGACATTTTTTACTGCAGTTTTTCTATGTACTGCTATTATCAAAGACAGATCGTGGAATTTTTTTTATTAGTTTTTCTGTAACATTTCGAGACAGGACTTATTTCCACATTGAGGAAATGATGTCTGGATCTCTATATTGAAAAAAACACATCTTTGTTGTGATCTATGGGCCTCATTCACCAATATCTTCTGAAGTTTTTTTTTATATTTGCTCTCAAGAAAGTTCATTATGTTTTCTTAGGGCTATGACTGCAGGGTCGTGTGCACACACAGAAATCAAAGGAACTGACTCTTGTCAGTCCAGAATGCCAAAACAGAAATCTAAAGATGGTGGCACACCAGAGTCAACCTGAAAAAAACATTAAGTGAAAGCTAAGAAAGTCCCACAGTTGATGAAGTCAAATAAAAACAGTCTGATCTGAAATCAAAAGAAATATTGTTAACAGGGAAGAGAGAGGTGGAGGACAGAGTTCTCTAAGAAGCGCATCATTGGAAACATAGCACTGCGGGTGAAACCTCAGCTGATACCAAACCCGAGCCTGGCAGCTCAGGTCAAACATTTCAAAATTATTTTTGGGTCGGTCACGTTGACTTGGCTGATGTTTTTACACTGCACATGGTTTTCTCTGCTCAGACACACACATGGGCGCCGTGTCAACAGCTGCATCTCCTGGCTCATCTGCAATTCTGAATCAGAACATCAGATAATTTTTCAGAATATTGGTGACAATCGATATTCTGACAAATATTTCAACTGACACATTCAATATGCAAACACAAGTGTGTAAAACCTACAGATGGGTGACTTTGATTGTTTAAGAGCTAGATAGAAGTGTAGGATTATTTGGTATGAGAAATTATATAGCTTGCTTATGCTGACTTCTTCCTTGATAGTTCCCTCAATCATAAAATGGAATTAGCTTCTAAATTCATGCTTTAATCAGAATTTAATCATATATTTACAATCACATATTTACTGTATAGAGTTTGATAGACAGCTACACTGGACCTAATGGGCAAACGACCCAGAGTTCCTTTGAGATGTGTGAAACACCACAAATGCCTTTGAGGGACAGTTGCTGCTCGCACATACTTTGTCTTTAAATGTGGTCGACAACATTCCATAGAAACATGCTTATTTAGAGCATACTGACAACATATAGCCATCATTACCTCCCAAGATAGTAGCTTCAAATGTTTTCTGTGACCAACAGTTCCAAACTCAAAGTGATTCAGTGTACTATGATATAAAACTCTGTGAAGCTCAGATTTGAAATGCCAGAAACTTTGAATGTTTGACATTTGTCCTTGATAAATGGATTATGTGAAGAATTGTAATCAATCAACTTCTTGTTTGAAAGGCATTGGTAGATGAGGCAAACATGTTTTCACAACCTGACATCTAGAATACCCTCAAAATGATTCAAATTGTGTGTGTCATTGGATTTTAATCTATTGTTCTTACAAGTATTATATTGTTTATCTTGTTGTATTCTGCAGGTATGACCCAAGCCTGACCTCCAAGCCCCCGCCAGATTTTGGAACATCCCAACTCCACTACTTTGAGGACTGGGGTGTGGTCACATATGGCAGTGCTTTACTTGCAGACACCAACAACACCTTTGTCTCCTTCAAGTCAGGGAAGCTGGGTGGACGCGCCATCTTCGACATTGTTCACAGGAACAAGTACAAAGAGTGGATCAAAGGGTGGAGGAACTTTAATGCTGGCCACGAGCACCCAGATCAGAACACTTTCACCTTCACACCCAATGGTTTCCCATTTATAACCGAGGCACTATATGGACCCAAGTACACTTTGTTGAATAATGCAGTGTTGTTTGGCTCGGCCGTCTCAGGGAGTTGCTTTAAGCCGTGGGCTGGACAGGTTACAGAGGCCTGTGACTCTAAGTGGTTGAAGTACAAAGTGGGGCTGGCAGCTGATGCCCAGGGCAGAGTCGAAGCTGCTATGGAGAGACAGGGAATGGTCTTCATCCGAGGTGAGGGACGTTCTGCGTATAATTCAGAGCTGAAGATTAGGAACTTTCAGAGGAACCTACTCCTTCTTCACCCACAGCTCCTCCTACTCGTGGACCACATCCACCTGGATCCTGACAGCCCAACCAGGGCCATGAGTGCCTTCTTTCACAACACCGAGCTGCCATTCCAAGGCACAAAGGTAGATGGTGTTCATGGAGCATTTGTGTCACATGGTGAGGACAAGTATAAGATGTTCTGGATGGATGACACTGGCTACAGTAACAAAGGAGTGACAGGTTACTGGAATTACCCTCGAGGGTACCCATATAATGGTTCTAACTATGTGAACATCACAATGCCGTTGAGGTACCCTTACACAAGGGTGGCCTACATTTTTTTTGGACCGGGGGTGGACATACAGAGCTTCAGCCTGCGTGGTGATGACCAGAGAGTGGATATTTACCTGGCCACCAAGGATCACACTTACACCATCTACCTTCTTACCGGAGAGGTCACCAGCAAGCCTCTTTACTCCATGGTGCTGCTGGACCACAAGAAAATCGTATTTGAGAAGGCAGCAGTTGCGGTGGACAGCTCGCCAGAGGAAGTAGAGGAGTACGTCAACGTGATGGAGGACAACCTCCAGCACGTCAAGCCTGTCTTCCAGCAGATGGAGAGACACATCCTCGGACGGGTTCTCAATACGAACAGCTTCCGAAAGACTGCAGAGCGCCTCCTGCAGTTCTCTGACAAAAAGAAGTCAGAAGAGGTCATTGAGAAGATGTTTGCTATGTCCAAGAAGCAAGGCAAGGGTAAAGGGGGGAAGAAAGTCAACCTTGGGGAGAAGCTTTCTGAGAGTCTCCCTGACATTTTTGCACAGATTGAAGTGAATGAAAAGAAAGAGAGACAGAAAACTTCAAAGCGTACATACGAGGACAGTCCAGAAGAGGGGGACGCAGACTCCCGGGCCTTTATGGATTATACAGACAGTCGCAAAAACAGAAAGGGTGGCTTTGTCAAGGGCCGCAAATTCAAAGAGGTTAACATGGTGGCCACAGCAGGGAGTGAGGGTTTCACCAGCACAGCCTCTTACATAAGACTCTTCCTCCTTCTGAACACGGCCACCTTCTTTTTACTGCTGGCTGTGATACTGACTCGCTTTCAGAGGGGTCGAAGTTTGCACACGCAGAGGTGTTTCTACACCATACTTCTGATCGACTGCTTCATCTTACTGTACCTGTACTCCTCCTGCTCTCACACACAGTGCTAACACCATGAGCGGGTTTGGAATCCCGCGACCGAATGACCTGTTGTTCATGGTGAACTAAATGCACCTCACACCTCAGTCTGAGCCAGAATACTTGGGCTGCTAGTCGATAAAGAATCTGAGATTTCAAGAAAAAATATTATTTTGACAAAATAATGAATGAAGTATGAATGAAGTTGTAATTTTTCTATAAATGTTTACATAGTTCAAGACTTCAGTTCTAAATGTATAAGAAAAAATTTCATGTCGATGAAAGTCATGATGTCATAAGAACAAATATACAATATTTTATAAATTAGTGGTAATGTTTCAAGATGCTACCAATTAATATCTTAGTAGTAAGCAGTCTGGCAGTTTTTACATGTCACATGAGGGATGCAAAGGATTTGAAGTTATGAGTTTCATATTTCAACAAATGATTAAATCATAGAGTTCATTACATACATACATTTACCAATTTTTATTTCTGTGGTATTATGGCTTTTTCCCCCCAAATTATGATGTACTACTCATTGTGAATTGCATTTTTTTAGATAATTGTATTCTTGCAATAGAATGGCTTTTATTATCTGAATCAGATTTTCTTTTGTAATCTCACAACATAGTAAATCAAAAGTATATCATTATCTAAACACGCGATTAATTACATTCATTTCACATGTAGTCTCATAATGGTACGCTACACAAGTTAAAAGTGGATTTATGTCCTTAATGCACTTGAACAATGACATCAAGTTAGATAGATAGATAGATAGATTACTTTATTCATCCCCGGAGGGAAATTAAGTCGTCATAACAGCTCGTGTATCAGAACACAACAAAACACAATACAATAGAACAAAACAAAACATTGAGGTAGAAAGAACAAAAACAGAAACACAAGATGAATAGGCAGACAAGTCAAGATCATTGAAATAAGCCTGATGACCTTTTTGAAAGTATGACTTCATACTCATAAGAAATGTGTCGTGAAATGTGTGTGTGTGTAATCTGAAATTACGACTGAGCTTCTTCGTAACATACTCGTAATGTTGTGAGTTTTATTCTCATGATATCATGACTTTTCCTATGTCATATCGATTTTTTCTGCCAAAATATTGAGATTTTTTTCTTGTAATGTCAGATTTCCTTTTCCCTAACAGTGGCCTTAATACTTATAAGATCAGGAAATACAACAACTGATTCCAAATAGGAATTGAAGAATTGCCAAGATGAAACCAGATCACCTCTGATGTAATTAAGCTTCTGTGGAGCTTTAGAACTGAGTCTGTGTGAAGTTTGTTCATAGTTGTGTTCAGAGGTCCTGCCTTGTATCAAAGATCTCAAGGTTAGCCACTATAGTGCAGTCGCCTCAGCTGTACATGAGATTTGTCCTGTCAACATAGTTCATAGAAATACATTGAAATGTATATAAATATATATATATGTGAAAGCAAGATATATTTTTATGGTTTCTTTTTTACCATTTGTAAATAAAATTACCACATGCAGAGGCGTGCGATCATTGTGTGTTGTGTCTAATGAATGTGTGAACTGTGAACAGTGGCCAAGAGAGCTCTGTACCTTTAGCTGGAACAAATAAATGAAGATCTTTATGTAGCAATACTTACATTTCATTATAAATAAACATTGCAAATCCAACTTTGAATCCAGAAAACAAGCAAACAGAAACTGTTTAAATCCAGCAGAACACACTGAGGTAATGAAATCAATTCAATTCAACTTTATTTGTATAGAACCAAATCACAACAGAGATTATCTCAAGGCACTTAACACAGTGCCATTGTGGCTCTGTCTATTTCTTCAAATGCCCGCTTAAGCTTTAGAATCAAAGCCTATATCTGACGTGTGTGTGCTTATGATGATGAAGGGACATGTCACCCAGCGTTCACAAACATGTTAATAGTTGTGGAGCTCTATGGCTCAGAGAACCAGATCAGGCTTGGGATACACATACAGTATATATATACACACACACACACCAGTCATATGCTTTCCATTTGTAGTGTTTTGTGAAGAGAGATGGATTTCTGAAGTGGAAAGTTATATTTATGAACTGACAGTGCTGAGACACATCTGCCCTCCTCACGTCACAGGCTCCACACACTAAATAAAAACTATGGACAAAGATGATGAACAGATATCAAAACTACTCCCATGCAAAAGGCCAATCAGATCATTCATTTTAATCTCTAACAGAACTGTTTCCTTTTCCTATTTATTACAATAAGGTAATTGTTGTGAGAAATAAACAAGCAGACTCATATCTGTCTGCTCAGTGAAATGTGTTATTTGTCAGCTCTTTTTGAATGAGGTAAACCAGCTGTGTAAGGCTCTGGTGTAACAAAGCACCGTTGGCTGAGAACCTGTAGCCTTTTGTTGACTTTCATCCGCGAGTCTGATTCCACCAAGTAAGTGAAATGAAAAGAGGATCTTTCCATCCCTCTCCTCAGAAAAATGCTGTGGGTTGTTTTGTCATGATTGAGCCGATAACCATTTCCAGATGTGCTCCATACTGCTTCCTTCATAATGAAAAGTGACCTCTGTTGTCTGGCCCAGTCGGCACACTCGAGGGCAGAGAGGATGGTGGATGTATTGACTTTGTATCACTATGAACTGTGACAAACAGGCTCTGTTTGTGTTTGAAACCAACCCCTGATAAAACATGAAGCCCATAAAAAAAGAGGCCATGTGTTTTTTTTCTTTATGTTGAGCCTTTGTGTTTAAAAATGAAATACTGCCATCTGTTGGCCATATAACTACTCAGGTTATAGTATTCTTTAGAATAAAACCTCATAACTTGTGGGGTAAATGTATTAGTGAAGACACAATGGGAGATATCAGTTTCACATCCTTTATGAAATTAAAAATAAATATGAATTTTGGAGATTTCTACAAGTAAGACATTGACCTCTCTCAAACACCAAACATATTAAGCAACTGGGATTCATGAATTTTACTTCAGATATGAGATAAGAATCATGGTAGGTCAAATTTTCAAAGTACACAATGGCCAAAATTGAATGGCCTTAAAGTGAGCAGGGAAAGATGCCTGGATCATTGTGTTGGCACAGTCCAAACTCAATGCAGCAGTAAGGTGGGAACCCTCATGCATGTGATAAAACAAGAAAATGTGGGATGAAATAATTTCCCTCTGGTATATGATGTTTGGAATAAATTTGAATGTGGCAGACCTAGGATTTGTCTAAATCAGTGGCCATGAAGGGGCCATTCACAATTCCTTGTTTACTGTTAGCAATGTAGCTTTGCGTAAAGCCATACATCATTAAATATAAATATAAATAAAAGGTTTTATCCTGTGATGTCAAATGCTTTTATTATCTGTATTATTATCATCATTATTATTATTGTTTGCACTTTGTTACTTGTAGTGCTAGACAAATTAATTTATTATTATCTATAAAACAAGGGCTTCGAAGATAAGAATGTATATAATATATAAAGTTGATACTGTGTGTATAATATATTTATTACTTAAAGTCTGTACTATGGAGCACTGTGCCATCGCAGCGAGTCCCTGTGTTCGCCTTTTCGCCGTGGAATGAGCCTCCTCTCTCGCCGTCGACAGTTTGAATAAACTTTATTGGTGAGGAGTTGTCGGCGGATGGTCAAAGATGGGGTCGCGGATCGCTCGAATGTTCCGAAACTTCAACCTGGAGAACCGAGTGATCCGAGAAATCTCCAAAGAGAAGCCGCGGGCGGCGCCGCGACACGAGCCCAGGGCGCCGCCGCCGTCCGAAGGTGAGCGACATGCGGCCATATGTAACCGTGACTCTGTCCTCAGGGTCACAGCAGGTCCATCACACAGCATGGGGACGTGCTGAGTGTTCACATGTGTTTGTGTTGTTGTTTGTGTGTGTGTGTGTTTCAGTGGTGGACACAGTGAACCAGAAGAACGACCCTCTGCTGAGCCTCCTCAGGTCTGTGTATGTGGAGTCCACGGATCCAGCAGCAGCAGCAGCGGAGGTCAGACTGGGATGGGACACTGGCTGTGTACATTTGTTTCTCAATCATTATCTGTATAGCTCATCATCATGAATCAGAGTTTGTCTCATAGGGTTTAACGAGGTGTGACATCTTCTGTCCTTAAGGTAGAAACCTCAGAGAGACACGTGTGTGATCCCTCTCCAAGGACAGACAGAAGAGCAATAGATTAAAGGCCATGGTGGTGGATGCTGCTTTGTTTGAGCTCATTTGTAACTAATTATTATTATAATACTAATCATTAGAGCTACAATATGAAATTGTTTTATTAAAGTAATTATGTCTGGGACTATTTTCAGTGGCGGATCAATCCAGATTTGATACTGAAGTGAAAATGTGCTGCAGTAGGATGGTGTATGTGAGAAGTCTTACTACTGTGTGTTTGTTGCTGGTAATATACACATGGCATATATAGATTTGGATATCAAAGTTTTGTGGCTCAGAAGATGCCAGTCGTTGTGAAACAGGAGCTGGTATCTAACCTTCATTGTAGCTGCAGCTGTTTGTAGCTGGGTCAAATGTGTGTGTGGTCACACATATTAGGGCACCAAAACATTGCTGTTGCTAATTTGCTACTTTCTTAATTTGTTGCTAATTATGTAAAGTTTCTCTAAAACTAGTTTTCAGTTCAGACCTATAGTGGAATGAAAAAGGAGTGTATCGCATTACAAGATTGTGGCCATGTGCATCACACTTTTTTTGGTTTCAGAATCATAACACGTGTGGAATCTCTTCACGGTTAAGTGTGTATTTAACTAAACCAAGGCTTTTCATTTCCTTTACCTTGATCCTCCCACAGGAGTCAAAGGAAGTCACAGCGGGTAAAGAGGCAGAGCGCCGGCCGCTCAGGTTCAGTTTACCAGGGGAGGCGTACGGCCTGGTGGATCTCACAGACGTTCCTAGAGGCAAACTGACCATCGTTGAGGCTCTGAAGGCCCTGAGCAGCCACCAGCGTCAGCCTCAGACGTGGACGCCGGAAAAGATCGCTCAGGAATATTCTCTTGACTTGAAAGACACAAAGGCTCTTGTTGAGTTCTTCATCCCCTTCCAGGTCAAGATCATACCGCCCAAGAGCGACGGCGCCAAGCAGATAAAAGCTTCTTAGGACTGGACTGGTGGTGATCATTAGATAAGATAAAGTGTTTAACAGATTTATTCATGTATGTCGACGCACTGCCATTGGGAAAGTCACCTGACCTGCAGCAGATCAGCCACAGTTTCTCAAGCTTGGGGTTTGGACACAAAGGTTGATGAAAGAAGCTATGAAAAATAATAAAATATGAATAAAGACAGTGGGTCTAAGAACTCACTATATAATGAAAATGTATTTCATCTTAAATTATAGCATTGTTTCTTATAGTCCATTTGGAGATATTGGAAGCTGGTGAAAATTCAACCCAAGTATTTATACTCTGTAGGTCTAGAAAAAGGTTGATAAATCTGAATTCAATGGAATGTAACTTTTTCAGAAATACACTAATTAATTAACTTGCAATTACAACAACTAGCCAAGCTCTAGTCACTTCACAGATGTGCTGGGTATTTTTAACCTTTGCTATCCCCCAGATTCAAGTCATTATGCTAAGCTATTGGCTAACTACATTCAGACTCATGGGTGCTGTTTTGAGCTATTTGGATTCAAGTATTTCCATTTTATGCTACTCTACTAGTTAACCTCAAAAACGGTATTTCTGACAAACATGATGCAAATACAAAATATTTATATTGACTCTTCTCAGCTCACTCCTGGAAAAAAAGACTAGTCCTATCCAGTGAAGATTAATTTACCCAATGACAGTAAATGTTTGTCTAAAAAGGCAAAACAGCATCTGTCATATTATTTGTGTCGACCCAGTCGGTTAATTATTGGGTCATTGCAGCTCCACTCAGAGCTCCAATGACAGAACTCTGCAGCACTGTGTTTTTGATGAAGATAATACATTATTATGCCATTTATCTAAGTAGCTACCACATAATGCAATGGTTTTCAAATAGTGGCTCCAGGGCTGAATCCACCCTCCGAACCACATGATGTGACCCCAGACAGATGTTTCCAATTTCATAACAAAACCTCTAGATGATCAGTCATTTATCTGCTGTAGTTAATGTGAGTACGGTGCTTGGTTGAATTTGAATACTAAAACTGACCTGTGACATTTATTACTGTTCACATGTAAAGAGAGCGTCCGAACTGCTGCTGTTGTGACCAATGTGACATCTTAAGACGTCTTCTTGAAAAAGACCTTTTACATGTGAAAGCAAAAAAACAAAGGGGGGTGGACCAGTCAGTAGCATCCAGATGTTATATTTTGTATTTCATGTCGAACATGTGAAATATTTTCCGGCTCATGTGAAACCTGTACCTTACTTCTTGCCTGAAATGAAAAGCCAGGTGAAAAGGTATTGGAAATCTTGCAAATGAGTCCATGTCTCTTACAGTATACCTCAAAGCACGAATCATACAGCTTACGTTTTTCATTTTAATTTATAGAACATTTTCTTTCAAAGACTGGGAGCTGACAAATAGCAGAGTTCTGCTTTTTGAATGCCATTCAGTGAAATTTGACATTGCCGGGAAAGCCCAAAAAGCCAAAGCTCTATAAATAAACTTAAAGAACCAATGTGTCTAAACATCAAATGCATTGATAGAGAAGAGTGACCTGGTGGCATTTGTATCTGTTTGCTGCACATACGCACAATTCATAAAATAAAAATATGATCTTATTTGATGTGTGGTTGAAGTCATGCAAAGTAATATGAACGCAATGCTGTGTTGAAATCACATCAAGATAATGGTTGTTCTCAGTCACAAACTGAAGACACAGTGAATAATATGAGCTAACTTAAGCAGCAACGAGCTACGTGACCAAATAAGTATTTCCTCCATTCGAAGCCGCGCCCACTTTGTCTAACCCAGTCAATCAGGGGCGTATCCTACATTTCAGCCATGTCATTGGCTCCTGTAGGTGTCAGTCATCACAGAATACAAAGCTGCGTCAAACCGACTAAAGAGAGTGAACACCGCCGGAAGCTGCACTGTTCTGCTTTCACAATAAAGCATTTTTTATAGCAGTGAGCTGACATTGGCCAGAACAGTAAATTAAAAAACATTGAAGGTAGGCTATATTAAAAATATACATGTTGGTGTGTTTGGGTGAATATTTGTTATAACATCAACGTGTAAGATTCAAATTATATATCCTTTTGTCCCTACTTTATTTTATTATGGTACACATTGCTATCCTATTAATATTAGTTTACTCCCTTAACTTTTTTAACACAAATTTATGCTTTTTAAGTCTTTTACCTCTTTTAATTTCTTAATTCTGCTCTGCTTAATCTCTGTTTTAATGTCTTAAACTGTGCGTTCTGATTTAAAATGTATTTCTTTTCATTTCGTCTCTTTGTTGTTTTTAAATGACCCTGAAACAGCACCTTGAATCTACCTCTGTGGTACAATTGAATAAAACGTCTTGTGCCATCTTTCTCCAAGATTACAGTAACACAATATATAATATACTTCAAAGTATAAAACATGACTCTTAAAGTCTTATAAATACAAGTTAAAAATACAAATGTTACTTGTATTATTAGTGAAAATGAAAACATATACAAGATTATTATCAGAATTATTATTATTATTGAATATCAGTGTTAGATTAATATTATTATTTCTTTGCTTATAATGGTGTTGGGTTATATATGCATATTTATACACACACACACACACACACACACACACACATATATATATATATATATATATATATATAAATATATATTATGATTGCATATGCACAAAAATAGAGTAAATGTAAAGATTTAAAAAAAAAAAATATGTACGCTCTATTTGTGTATCTCTGTTCTCTTATATATACATATATATATATATATATATATATTCATAAAATATTTTCATAATATAATGCTGTTCTTTTACAGTCTATAGATATTTGTTCTCAACTAGTTCTTGTTTGCGTGAACATTTATGTTGACAGTCCAAACAGGAAGTGGTGCTTGTCTCTCTGGCGCTGCTGCGGGTATCGAACAGTGATCAGTGTTCCACAGTGTGTTGACGGTGGTGGCTCGGGCTCCGCACGGAGAGCTACATGTGTGCTACGTGTGTTTGTGCAGGATGAGCCGCTCACGCGTCGCAGCCGGACGAAGAGGAGAAGACAGAAGCGGCTGAAATCCACACGAGCTCCGGTAAGACGCAGCGCCGCCTCGCTCCTGCTCCTCCGGAAACAAAGCGACACCAGGCGAATGCGGATTTCACTTTTCCTCCGGCTCCATCTGTGTAGGTGGAGGCTCCGGCGGCTGTCGCGCTGTTGATTCGAGCACACGGCCTCACACGCAGCCCCACACCTCGGATCGGAAACCATCTCTGCTCGCGTTCTGCAGAGCCGCAGTCCGTTGTCTTGACTTCGAGCGGGAGGAGACGTCTTTGCCGTCGGGGGAGATGCACCGTGCGGAGGACTGAGCCTCGACATGGGAGAACGAAGCAGGTGAGACCCACGAGGAGGCACCCGAACCAGAACCAGCTGTGTGTCATGTTCACTGGTGTGTTGTTCACAGATGATGGGCTCCTGGGTGCACACTGTGTCTTCTGCAAACATGTCAACTCTCCATGGACACTCAGTGTGTCCTCCTCAGTCATTTGATGGAATAACACAGGACTGTGTGTCAGAGACAAGCTGTTACACATGTGATAGAGGTGGATGAGGTGGATGAAGCGAGGGCCTGATGTGGAGGAGGTGTCATTCTGATTGGTTTGTGATTTATCTCCCCCTGAGTTTATCTCACATCAGCTGTTGCGTGTGATGGAGGTTATTTACCTGGATCATCATTGATCTGGAACTTGTGGCAACCAGCGAGCTCATCAGGGGTGTTATTGTCAGAAACCTGCACTGATCCCTGTGTTCCTGTCTTTAACACACACCGAACGTCATACAAAATGTAAAAGCATGTTGACTTTTAAATGCAACTGGAGTTGAAGCTTCAATCTATTTTGACTTTGAACATCTAAACATTTGTGTCCAGATCAAATCTCCGACCACAGAAGTCTGAAACCTCTAAAATTCGATTTTTGTCAGTTTTGCAAATCAGTACATAACAGTTTGAATCTTCCGCATCCCAAAATACTGTATGGTCAGGCTACTCAAAGTTGTCATCTTCGATCCCAAAACTTGCGTTAAATGGAAAAAACTTTGGATTTATTAGCGTTTGACTGCAGATATTTAAACAAAAAAAATTCAAAGGTGCTATGTGAAGGTTTTTTCCACACAGCCCATGTCAACATTAGCTGCTTAAAAGTTGGGACTTCTGACTTCATCAGACTTTATCCCATTACACGTCAACATCTGTCCACAGAGGTGGAAAGTATCGCCCGTGGTTTCACTTCTCTTCAGCTAGTGTCATCTTTTTCATGCAGGTCAGTGATGCACAGTGAAGCCGTGCTGCTGAGATGGTGTATTAAAACTTCTCGTCTCTTAAACGCGACAATGGCCGAAGCTCATGGTGAGACCATCACTCCCACAGGTGTTTGGTGGCAAAACCATTAATCCATGTAGCCAAGCTTTAGGTTGTAGATTTAAAATTCTTCAGTTCATTTACGGTGCCTGTGAACGCAAAGCTAACTAAAACACAGTTGCATTTTGAAGTTACAGTCTTTTTCTTATCCACCACTTTTTAATCGAAAGGCCTTCCTCATTACATCTCAAATGGTTTGGATTCCAAGTTATCTGCTCAGCACGGCTTCTTAGTTGTTCCTATTTTAACAACAGTAGCCTTGTTTACTGATCTCGAAATGGAGTGGGTCAGACAGAACATCTATTTACAGCTTTCCTTTTCGCAGAGTACTTTGGAAGTGGTAAATATTCACTTCATTATGGCCTCGGACTAATATCAACCCATGCTAGTAAATGTGTAATAAGAGTGTATTACATTATCCAGATGTATTTACATATGTAGACACTATGTTTTAGAATCTGATGTAACTAATCATCTCCATTAAATCTTTTCTACTTCATTATTCAGAAATGATATAGAGACACATACATATCAGCGGTGCTTAACAGTACCGCCTCCGATCAACAACGCTGCTCTGAGGTGAACTTGTACATGAACTAGTGAACTTTTCAGCGCGCACCGTCTAAGGCTCACTCGGCTGCAACCCTTTGTCTCCTAGCTCTTCTTCCAAGCTATTCAAGGTCAGGGGGAAGTGGCTAAGAAGCTCTCGAGATGCTCTCTCCACAATTCTCACTTGCATAATTGCGTTGCCACCGTCTTTCTGAACGCCAAGTACCCGATCGTCCATTTTCTACCGCAGGTTTACTTGATTGCTTGGACGCTCAAGTGGCTATTTTAACATTTTAGGCCACGCTGCCTCTAAAGGAAAGGAATGAGATGTGGCATTACATCCCCTGTTATGGCAGAGTGCTCCACAGTATGTTTAGAATTGTGTTCCACAAAGCCCATGACCTTAGAAAATGAGTTTGATGCATGTAAGTATGGGAGGTGAATGGAGCAGGAACTAGGCCAAAATGAAACCTGCTTCTTCATGAGGTCTTCATCGGGATGAAGCAGGAGGTAATTGCAGCAGACAATACAGTTGTCATCACCAGGAGAATAGAGCAGCCTGAACTTGGCTGCCGGCCTGTTTATCTCTGTACTACAGCTTTTCTCTGGACATGTCATAGCACTATCTGTGAAATAGCTACTAATGCAGCCAACCCATGTTTAAGCATGGGCAGTCACTGTTGTCCCCATAATTGACTGAATATCTATTCCCTTGATTTGTTTTGATCATTAATGAAGTAATGAAAGCAAATGTGGAAAAGTACTTATAAATGGACTCTTTTCTATGGTATGTTTATTATTTAGCATTTGGCTTTTAGTCACTGTTAATGATACCAGGCAGTCTGAAATAAACAGTGTCAGTGTTTATCCAAGTGATAAGGTTTTATTGCACTATTTGACTTGTCTCCAGTTGAACACTGGCTGTTAGATACTGGCAGCGGGTAAGAAAAGCAGTCAGCATGATTTGTTTTCACATTTCAGTCTAATAAAAGATTCATGTAAACAAACGCTTTTATTTTCCTCTTTAGTTCATATTCGGTTTCACCTTTTTGAGAAATACAATTATTACATTTCTGTCTTCTTCTAAGATTAATGGAAGAATTGTGTCTATTTGTTGGATAGAAATAAATAAGAGTTTAGGTGCACAACTCCAAAAAATAACAAAGTGTGATGTAAGCCTTGTCAGTCAGAGTTGTATTTGTAGGTAGCTGTATTTTGTACATTCAGGCTTGTTGTGTCCACCTTATACAGTCTGTAGGCTCAGCATGTCCTTTTACCTAAGGCCAGTTCATGGTTCTGCTTGTTCTCAGCCGGACGTGTGGAAGTGGACACAGACTCCTGACAATCTCCCCCCCCTGTGTAACCCCCTAAAATAAATAGGTCTATTAATACAAGTGAGTTTTCGTGCAGTGTGCTGGTTCCACAGTTCATCTGATCTTTATAAAACACTGTAACTTAATCCATCATGCTTATATAACAAACAGTTTTGAACAAATGAGTATTAGCTGTTGTGAAAGGAAGGGCAGTAGTTTGCATGCAAATCAACTGAAATTTGCTGCAACGCAAATTAAAACACTTTAGAGCAATGAGCGTAGACATTGTGTTTTGTGTCAGTACTGATAATGAAGATTGGTGTAATGAGGTAATTGAAAATGAAAAAAATGAAAGTAGGGGGGGTTTTGGTGGTTGGAAGTTTTAATTAAATTTTTTAAATTAATTTATTCTCTCTGTATTCACTACATATTTGTGTATTTCTTAGGGTCCCACAGCCGTGAAGCTGCCGCCATGTTGCATTGACCTGGGAATACCTGCATCCACAGCACCATGTTTGGGATGAGCTCACCAGCAACAATGGTTGCTCACCCTGGGGAAGAATGGTTCACTCCACTACTGCCCCCCCCCCAGAGGCAAGGGACATTAACACCAGTCTCTGCTGCCTCTATACGGGACTGCTGAACTTTTCTGAGAGGCTGGCGATGGAGAACATCTCCATGGCGAACCTTTCCCTGGGCTCCCACTCACCCCTGGAGCCGCTCATGCCGACAGCGGAGGCCCAGAAGAGTCTACAGGGTGTCGGCCTCCCTCTGCAGGTCTTCTTTTGCTCCGTCATGGTTGCCATCCTGCTGGTGGCACTGTTGGGAAATGTGGTGGTGTGCCTGATGGTGTACCAGAGATCTGCCATGCGCTCGGCCATCAACATCCTCCTGGCAAGCCTGGCATTTGCAGACATGATGCTGGCCATCCTGAACATGCCCTTCGCTCTGGTTACTGTGGTGACCACCAACTGGATTTTTGGAGAGGTCTTCTGCCGAGTGTCGGCCATGCTCTTTTGGTTCTTCGTGATGGAAGGCGTGGCTGTACTGCTAATAATAAGCATCGATCGCTTTCTTATTATTGTCCAGAAGCAGGATAAGCTGAGCCCTCAGAGAGCTAAAGTGCTTATCGTGGTCACATGGGGACTGTCATTCATTTTCTCCTTCCCCCTGGCGGTTGGCTCCCCTCCCCTTCAGATCCCTCCCAGGGCCCCTCAGTGTGTATTTGGCTACAGCATCGAGCCTGGCTACCATGCCTATGTATTGATCCTAATGTTAGTCTTCTTCTTCATGCCTTTCATGGTCATGCTTTACACATTCATGGGGATCCTGAACACCATCCGCCACAATGCCATCCGCATCCACAGCCACCCGGACAGCATCTGTCTAAGCCAGGCCAGCAAACTGGGTCTGCTGAGCCTCCAGAGGCCCTTCCAAATGAATATAGACATGAGCTTCAAGACCCGTGCCTTCACCACCATCCTCATCCTCTTCTCTGTGTTTACAGTGTGCTGGGCACCCTTCACTGCCTACAGTCTGGTAACTACCTTTAGCGATGGGTTCTACCACAAAGACAGCTTTTTTCAAATCAGCACATGGGTCCTGTGGTTGTGCTACTTAAAGTCAGCCCTCAACCCTCTCATTTACTACTGGCGGATCAAGAAGTTCCGCGACGCCTGCCTCGACCTGATGCCCAAGTACTTTAAGTTTCTTCCTCAGCTGCCGGGAAACACGAAGCGGCGCATACAGCCAAGCGCAGTGTATGTGTGCGGAGAGCATCGCTCTGTGGTCTGAAGTAAAATCCACACTCATACAGAGTTAAAAAAAAATCTTTACATACTGTACTGTATTTGCCTGTTTTGCTGTTTGGTGGTAAACTTCTCTTAGCAGGTGTTCAGACAGAAAGTAGCACTGCATTAAAAAAAAAAAAAAAAAAGGGGGAAGGTTAATGTGGGTGTGACGCTACAGGGTCGGAGGTGAAATGCAAACATCTATGAGTTTCAAAGCTTGTTTGATGCCAAAACACTGTTCAGAGAATCGTTTTTCTAGAAATCAGGGTGTTACAATTTTTAAGTAAGCTTGGTTTTGTTCGATACCAATTCTGTTACAATAATGAGATTCTTTCCTAATAGAAAAAAATATAGATTTGAAATACCTAATTCTGACCAATATACGCTTTTGTCTTGACAATAAGATACTTGACAATTTTTGATTATGTAGTCTGCACTAGAATATAGTTGTTTTTATAACCCATCCCTAAGAGAAACCATCTTCTCCTCTAGCTTGCCAATATTGAGATAAGCATTAGAACTATGCTGTTAATCAAAGTGTGCAGGGTATTGTGTGCTCTGTATCTGATTGGCTGGGTGATGTGATGCGTTGCAGCAAAAGTTGAGTCAGGGTCAACCTTTCTGCTGGACAACCTTGCATTTTTGCTGGAACCTTCATAAGAACAGTGTTTAATGCAATGCTGATTTTAGTCTGACTCACCATTTTGCACTGATGCTCAGAAACCGTCAGGGTGTATGTTTCTTGGTTATCCATATAATATCTGGGGGGGTCAAAGGCAACTGGACTCTCCATGTGCAAAATGTTTTAATGTTCAGTCAAAGAGTGTTCACTTCCTGGTGAAAGCTTCAACTCGTGTCTCTCATTGTGGTGGTGCTCAGTACACGATGGCTGTACTGAAACTTGTTTTAGAATCATGCTATATTTTCTATAATATTGGATTGGTCTGGTGAGTATGATTGAATATTGATATCTTTTACACTTAAACACTTGATGCCAAATTGAATTTTTTTCCTGACCACAGTGGAAGTTCAGTTTTCTAATAAAGCTGGGTATACACTGTACGATTTTAGAAATGCTGTTGTTAAATTCCACCTCATACTGTACGAGTTAATCGTCTGCAACGTGAAGGTGTGCTCAGACTGTACGGTAATATGCCCATGCAGAAAGTTAAGGAGCCCTTCTGGTGACATTTAGGGAAAAAATATAAAGTGGCCATGAAATAATAACGTGTCGGAACCAGAGAATAGGTTGTGCACTCTACACCGACTCTGATTGAGGCCACACTGGTGGAAACGTTTGCAAGAACATGTCAATAAAAACATAGGGCGAATTTGAGATGTTGTGGGTGTGTTAGCATTGAACATCTAACTGCGCTTTGGATAGGGCCCTATGTTTTTATTGACTGGTAATTGCAAATGTTTCCACCACAGTGTGGCCTCAATCAGTGAATACAGTGTGTGTGAAAGTAAAGCTCCTTATAGAGGCTACATCTTGTGATCAGATAAGTGAAACGTCTCGTCTCTCATCCATGAGGCTTCTTAAGTTCGCTGTCTCTGTGCGACGTTTCACGCAGTCAGGAAAAAGCCACAGAGGTTAAGGGATCGACTCGTGGCTCTGCTTCAATGAGGTCGGCCGACCAAAATTTCTTACATGTCAGAAATTTATCAGAGCAGAAATGTCCCCCCTGTACAAACAATGCATGACAAAGCTGAAAATTAAGTCATGTGACTCAGAAAACGGGGTAAAGTCCTACAGTGTATGTCCAGCTTTAGAGTGTGTGAAGGTTGAGATCAGGTCATTGTGTATCAACTCAAAGGCAACTGCACTGGCTGTTGTGTCTCTTAGCGGATAAAAGATAAATACATTTGTCTTTGATTTAGTACTTGTGCAGAAACACCTATACGGGAAAAAATACATTGCAGAAGAGGTAAACCAACCGTCCAGCATCAGTGATCTTCAATTAAAGCTTCAATAATTGACGTTTTTTGATACTAGTGCCAGTGAAATCCCTGAGTGAAAACAGTTCAAGTTCACAAGCAGCCATACATTTAGGAAAATGATTGCTGAAATCAGGAAGCACCTGGTCAAAGAGAGATTCAGCAAGATAATTGTGATATTGATTTTTGACAATACTTGACTGTTTTTAATGCTTTGTTAGACTTCAAGTGGATCACCCAGCCCCACTCATAGACCAGAATGCATTGCAGATGATGAATTTCAATGCCAAGAATACAGTCACAGATAAACTCAATGCCATCACTCTAGCTATGGCTCCTTTCTTCACCTACTCATCCCACAGAAGGCAGTTTGTCTCTGAGAGTGATAGAGTGTCGTTCTGGGTAATAACACGAAGCTTTAAGTGAAGTTGTCAATGTAAATGAAACATAAAAATCATGAAAAAGAGTTAAACCACTTTATAATTCCTGGAATGCACTGAATGGCACAGACCATGCAGGAGTATCCACAAATGAATTGTAACTTTCATATTGAGCTAAAAAGAAAACAGGCGCTGTTGGACTGGACTTGATCTTGTTCTTGCCACTGGAACCGTGAGTGGAGGGAAAAGGACACTTTGTTTTAGCAGTGTACAAGTTGTTATACAGGGCATGTAAATTAACAGCTTCAATGGAGTTTGAATGTGGTCAGGAAGTGTCCATGACCCATTTGAACATGTTTGAATTTAAATGTTTTGGATGTGCCTATTGAATAGTCCACTTGCCAGTCAGAATGCTGCTATATCTGGTGAAAATGTGCAATTTCAGTGTACTGTACTGTTGAATGTAATAAAGAAATAGACATTTCTTACCTTGGTAAACGCTGTGAAGTGGACTCTTTGTTTGCATGTGTTGGGCATCAGTAAATTGTTGGGGTTGGATCAATAAAACTGGTAAATGGTTTTAATGTTGTGGCGGATCAGTGTATTTTAGACTTTGTCAAGCCATTAAGTCATGTGAAATACGAGAAAGTGAAAAGGTATGTGATAAATCACATCACTAATGTGATGGTTTTAAAATAGACCACAATGCAACACAATGAACAGTTTTAATGTTATGGCTGACCGAGGCTCATTAGCTGAAGATCTACTATAGCCTTGGGCTATACCTGCTGTTCCATTGTTCAGCAGGGATATGTTCCATGTCATTCAATGTCAACCTGGAATTTCAATAATGCGTCTTTACAACGTTTTTACGTTGTTTATTTTACATAGATAAATAAAAATAAATCAATTTACCATACAGTTTACTAACACCTGTTGAAAACTTGAACTAAGTGAAAATACAGCTCTCATGTCGAGTTAAAGTTAAAATCTTTCAAGTGGCTCTCTGTAAAACATACTGTTCATTTTAGACGGATAGAAAATAAATGATGGAACAATGATGTTGGCTTATTCTGGGTAATAACACTTGTGTGCACTTGTGCACCACTAGGTGATGCATTGCAGGGGTGAAGCTTATTATGGGTGCCGCCTAGTGGTGCACAAGTGCAGACGGAGCCCCTGCAATGCATCACACTCATATTATTATCGCTCGGGCTTGTTATTCTTTTGCTTCTGTAAATTTTCATCCTGCTACTCCTCCCACAAAGTTTGATGCACATTCACACAAGGTACATCAGTACCGCCATAGTAACAGGATGTTATCAGGAAACCTGTAAAGAGCCTAGATTTTCAAAATAAGCCTCCCCATAGTAACGGGATGTTATCAGGAAACCTGTTAGGAGCCTAGATTTTAAAAATCAGCCCCTTTAATAATTTTCTAGTTATTATTAAAATTATCATTATTATATGAATTGTTGCTGTCATCAATAATAATGATAAATAACTTCTTGACACTGTTTTTGTTTTCATTTGAACTAGTCAGATCTGATGGTGCACAAGCATTCCCGGTCTCTGTCACCTCTCTCTCCCCCTCCTCCCCCTCCCCACTATCTTTCTCTCTCTTCTCTCCCCTCTTTTCCACCCATCTCTCCTCTGGCTAGAGGTTTCTCCCAGTTAACGAGGGAGTTTTCCTCTCCACAGTCACCAAAGTGCTGCTCATTGTGGGAACTGTTGGGTTTCTCTATATTAAGTAAGATTTTAAGGTCCTGACCTTCTATGTAAAGTGCCTTGAGACAATGTATATTATTATTTGGCGCTATGCAAATAAAACTGAATTGAATTGAATCTTTCACTGCCCCATCCATGTGAACATGAAAGTAAAATTGTCTCTGATGTGTGACCATAGCGACGGAGGAGGAGAAGCAGGAGAGTTTCTCAAGGTCAGCTGGAATAATAACATGTAGGTGCTGTAGAACTGTGTTAACGATAAGTGTTTATTCTATGTGACACCACATGTGTTTAAATGAACATTACAATCTCCATATGATCTGGATACCGAAACATGAGCCTCTATACGGGAAACAGAGGCATGTTCACACTCACGCTGCTGATCCATATTTGTGTTTCCAGCTTTAATATGAGACAATAATGTGTCATTGTTGTACGACAAGGCTTTAGAAAATGTCCTGGTGTTGTTTCAGAAAAGCTAAAACAGAAACTAAATGCACCTAAAACAAATCATCAGCTGCTAACCTCATATCTGATTCATTTTGTTTTGCATTTCAAAGCATATCTCCATGTAAAAACATCGTTACTGTGTGTGTAAGGCATCTGTCTCCCTGTTGTTTACGTGACGCCTCTGTGCAAGCTCTGCGTTAATTATCCTCCTCCCAACGCATCACCTGTGTCTCCTCTTTCCACTCAGGGACTTCACTTCCTGCCATTGTCTCTGCTGAATGCTTTCGAGAGGGCGACACGCGCCCGCTGTGCGTTTATGCATCACTCCTCCACATGAGGATTTCACAGGAGCCTGCCACTCATACTCCTCAGTCGAGCGAACAGCGTTCCGTGAAATGCAGCTAGTAGTAGTAGTGAATGCCGGGGAGCTGCATCAGCTGCTGTGCCTGACAACCAGCCTCACGTCTCTTTCCAGTCTCACAGATCTGTTGTTTTGTGTAAGAAGTGTGAGCTCACGTCCCTGCTCACAATGTCCTGCACTACAGGTGTTAGGTAAAAGAGCGAACGTGTATATATATTTTCCGTTGGTTTATAGTCATTTATTTTTGGTATTTATTGTGCTTATATTCATAAATGATTTTACTTTAAGCAGATGAATGCACAGGAAAGTCTTGGTGATTTGTTTGGAAAATCTAAAAATGCAAATTGAGGTGGAACAGGGGCTCGAGGGTAAGCTCACTGTTATCACGGAAAACATTTGCACATTTCTTATCCAGCCGTGCAGTTGCTTTTCAATTCATGCTTCCAGTCCAGCTTCCAATGGTGAAGGAGTCTCTGCAATTTCTGCCTCCACCTTGGTACAGTGGAGGCGAATGTGATTCTCTGTGTATTGAAAATGACATTTAGAAATTCAAATGTGCATCATCCTCACGCTCATACACTACAATCCGTTTCAAAGGTTGTTTCTTATCTGAGCTCTGCACTCTGCTGTGGTGACTGCTCTCTACATTGAGTCTGACTCTGGAGCACAATTTTAAACTTGGACATTTGCACAAAAAGCCTCTTAAATCACGACCGACCCCTGAGGCTCTTTGTAGAAATTCAACCACAGTGTAATTTCAATACATGAGAAGCTGCATCTTCATTAACAAATAACACAATCCTAGCATCTGTTAGAAAGAGGCAAATGTGATTGAAAACATTTGTCTCAGTCTGGTAAATGAATGTATCTAATTCAGAAAATTATAGAGTTTATCACAGCATGAATGTGAGACATCCCTTCTTCCTTACCCTTAACCAAATGCATTATGGGATACTTAACTTGAGCATTCATCGTTAAATCTAACCATAGGTTTTGATTAGGCTGTCCACGAGGAATAGAATCAAGGCAAAGCTCTAATTAGGGTAAGTACACAAATACGTGTGTGAGTCTGTGTTTGCAGGGGGGCGTCTGCCTTGACTGGTTGGGTTGAGCGGAGAGACGAATGCACTACGTTGGACACACTGCCGGTGACAAGGTGACAGGAAACAATTCATTTTGAAAGAGTAACTGTCAACTCCCGTCACTCGGCCAGCCAACCAAATGTGCGGACGTCATCATGAAGTCAACATGTGAGGATGGAACACTGCAACAAAGCATTGCAAATACCTAACTCATTTCTGTGAGCCTGTCTCTCACATTTCTTCATGAGAATAGTCAGCTGGGAATATCATTCACCCATTTTTAATCCTGCTTATACTAAACCCTAGAATTTGTCAACGGCTGCTGCAGCTGCCTGAAATGACACTGAATCCACTAAATATCAGATCTATTCTAGATGTGCTGGATGCGTCAGGAATAGATCTTAGAGGCCGGCTGACAAAAAGCAGGAAGACCATCTATAATGTGATTAAAAGAAAGCAGCCTCTCTGTGTTTCAGTTAGAATGTAAAGAATCTAGTTTTGCTTGTTCCACCCTGAACACTAAAATACAACATTTGAATCCTGAATGAAAATGATTCAAAAGTCATTTTAAACTTTATCTTTCTTAAAAAAACAAAAAAAAACACCTGCCAGTCATATGTTGCATGTGTAATGCATTTGATGAAGGGTTTTATTATACAGCGAGTGAAATAAGTATTGAACGCGTCACCATTTTTCTCACTAAATATATTTCAAAGGTGCTATTGTCATGAAATGTGTCCAGATGAAACCAGATGTTGGTAAGAACTCAAGTAGTCTGTACATACAAAGAAACCAAAACGAACAAGTTCAGAAATGAATGTGAAATGACACAGGGAAAAAGTATTGAACACATGAAGAAAGGGAGGTGCAGAAAGGCATGGAAAGCCTGAAATCTATCAGTAATTAAAAAGCAATCCAGCCCCTTGTCAGTGCAAATGAATATCAGCTGGTTCAGTCCCAACTGATGGCAAGCAAAGACCTTCGCAACCTAATTGTTGCAAAACATAACGATGGCATTGGTTACAGGAGCATTTCTAAGCTTCTGAATGTTCCAGTGAGCACTGTTGGGGCCATAATACAGAAGTGGAAAGATAATCATTTCACCAGCTAAGGACCACTCGTGGAGAGCTTCAAAAAGACCTGGAATTAGCAGGAACTGTTGTCTCAAAGAAAACAGTAAGTAATGCAGTCCACCGCCATGGCCTGTGTGCACGCTCACCACGCAAGACTCCATTGCTGAAAAGAAAGGCACGTTGAAGCTTGTTTAAAGTTTGCTGCACAACATTTGGAAAAGCCAGTGAAATACTGGGAGAATATAGTCTGGTCAGATGAGGGCAAAATTGAACTGTTTGGATGCCATAATACACTAATGGTACTGGCAAACGTCACATTATTGAAGGAAGGATGAATGGGCAAATTTACTGGGACATTCTTGACAAAAATCCGCTGCCATCTACCAGGATGATGAAGATGAAACGAGGGTGTGCACATTTCAGCAAGACAATGATCCCAAAACACACAGCCAAGGAAACTCTCAATTGGTTTCAAAGAAAGAAAATAAAGCTGCTAGAATGGCCCAGCCAATCCCCTGACTTAAATCCCATTGAAAATCTATGGAAAGAACTGAAGATCAAGGTTCACAGAAGATTGTGTGGCAGAATGGGCCAAAATCATTAAAAATGGTGACGTGTTAATACTTATTTCACCTGCTGTATATTGTCTAAATCTAATCTTAGTGTGAAATTTGACTGTTAAAATGTTATTGCACATTTTAAGAATGAGAATTATAACTGACTTTATTATATACTTAATGATTCTGTGTGGTAAATTTCACATCCATTGAATCACAATTTTAAAGACACTAAAAAAGTAAGAAAAACTATCCAGATGTTGACGACTTGTAAATGAGCAGCTTCCCCTTTCTTCTATTTTCTCTCCTTCATGTTGTAAATAATGTTATGTACGCTTTAATTTTACCAATTGATATTTATTTATCTGCACGACTGTTTATTTAACTGTACTTTCACTTTAGCTGCATATTTTCTGTGGTGAACACATCTTCAATGTTTGTATATTTACACGTTGCTAAATAAAGTTGTTTGAATGCGTAATGAATATGATTCTAAGTCAGTGTTTAATTTAAAACCTTTCAGAGCCACCCACCTTCATGTCAGCCCAAAAGACACATCAAAGCCTCCCGGGCCATAATCTGTGTGGCCCGGGAGACATGAAAGCAGAGCAAATGAGGCGTCTGGCAACTGTCCGCATCACATGGGAAACACGGCCGGTCCAGAAAAGGTCAGAGGGTTGTTCCCGTGAGCCGACATCAGACCTGCCACACCTCCGCTGACCCCCTGCGACCTGTCTCCACCGGACCAGTGCCGCTAGTTCCAGTGAGACGAGGTCAGTTTGATTTGCTCCAGACTTGTGATTATAAAAGATGGTGTTCTTAATCAGCTTCCTCCCTGGGATTCATTATACAGCCAGCAGTGAGTAATGAGCGTATCCAGAGCTTTGAAGCTCACTTTAATCAGAGCACTGAAGGCGATTACTAAGCAACAGGAACTTGCACATGTCTCAGGAGGATGCATGGTGATGGTGGATGGAGTGATGTTCGCGCGAGGAAACAAGATAGAAGTCAAAAGCACTTGGGCTTGTATCACTGTGCTCGCGGCTCAAGCATCTTTATTATAAGATTTGAGTGCTGCGGTCCATGATTGTTGTTACAGATAGAAACCAGAGAATGACTGAAACAAGGGGTCATCGTTCCTGCAGGTGGAAAATGTACATCTGTGACGGATCTTAGCAGACGGCACTTGTTTTGAACATAGAAATATAAAGTTACTCTAAACTATCACTCACTGATGTGTGATTAGATTTTAACACCATTCATTCTTTGCTGAAGTAAAGAAGTGTACACAGACTTGAAAAAATATTTAGTAACAAACCTTTTGATAAAGATTAGGAGGGAAATTGTGATTTGTGAATATTAATAATTAAATGTATAAAAAACATTTAGGTGACTGATGGGTAATGTAGGATCTGCATCTCGAAGTTGGTATGTTTTGAAAGTGGATTAATATACAATTCAACTCAATTAAATTCAGTTTTATTTGTATGGGACCACAACATACATTATCTCATACATCATACCATCGCTGTTGTTGTTGTTGGCTTTCAAAAAATTATATTTTGCTTACACCCAGAAAATGAAGATTTATGTAAATGTATTTCTGGCATACAGGAAGAGACACTGCAATTTAACTGAGTGGATAAGTGGTGTTGACACATGCAGCACACTGCACCATGGACAATTTACAGCCCTGTTTTTTTTTCATATTTTTGCGTTCACACCTGCCGTGTTGTGAAGCTGATGTTCTAAAAATGCTAATGTGGAGCGAGCACTGGGATTTCTGGGTAACCTTGGATGTATTTTCGGAGAATCTTAAATTCTCACAGGGAGCTCGTGTCCTCACCCTGTGGAATGTAGATTCTTGGGAATATGTATTCAGTTTCGAGAGGATCAGTGGCATCAGCTTGTTGCCCGTAGTGACAGTTATGCAATACTCAAATTACCTCATGCAGGCATAACTAAAGGGTCAAGAAAACATAAGACTGCGCTGCCTGGACAATGTTCTGTTAACTCCTGAATCAATATGAGCACTGTGATTGCTCAGGCTGTTGCTATGCACTGCCAAGGGAACCAGTGTCCCTGTAATCATTAGTACAAGGTGCCTTCATGAGAGGCTTTTAGGTTTTTACATAAACAGCATCAATCATTGACTGGATCAACATGGATTCAATTCACTGCATGAGCCACTTCCAAGTCGCTACTGTGTAATTTCACTGGGAGAATGTGTATTAGACCGACTGCTCTCATGCACGATGGATTCTCACTGGGGCAAAACGAGAATAGGCGTCTTCGTCACAAGCTGCTTTTGTTTACATACTTGATTTCACTGCGGTCACGTCGACATCAGGCATTTAGATTTGACATTCAGATATGATTTGAGCCTGTGTGTCCGGTGTCGACATGGAGCTCTGGTCGCTCTGTCCAGCTCGCATCTCTTTCGCACGGCTCCAACACAACAAAAACCAACCAACTACAAAAAAGGTCAGAAGACGACAGACAGAAGAGCCACTAATTACACTATCAAATTTCAATCAATCAAATGTATTTATATAGCACGGTATCACAACAAACATTTTTCTCAGGGTGCTGCACAAAAGTCCAAGATCTTAAGAAACGCTAAATCCAACTTGTTCCACACCGAGCAAGCATGAGCAAGAGTGGGGAGGAAAAACTCCCAGGTGGAAGAAACCTCCGGCAGAACTAGACTCGGTGTGGACGGCCTCTGCCAGGACCGACATTACTATTGTTTTTGAGTGTCTTGAATAACGTTGAGAGATGAGGTGTGTCGACAAATGGCTGCTAGCTGCTCCCTTTTTCTGCCCGTGTAGTTGACGTATAGAATGTGGATTGACAACACATTAGATTTGGTGATAAAGTGATTCATAACTTAATTTCGGATCTTCATACACATCAGCAGAGCTCGGTTCTTGTGTGGGTTCATGTGATTTTTATCTTGGAAAAAGAGAAAATCTACACACCTAAGCTTTTTTTTTTTTATTTGTCAGTGACGTGTCAGAATGCTCTTCTTGGCTCTTCAATGTTACTTCTGATAGAAAAACAGTGTCGCCATCTTAAATACCTACAATCCATTTTAAAAAAGATACAGTGAATATAAACATATCATAGTAGATATTGTTATAAATTTACATAGAAAATAGTGTACAAAATGTCATATTTAAACTCACATGTAAAAACTCATGTCACATCAGAAGGTGGTGATTAATAAATGTTTTTTTTCTATCAGACGTCTGAGGAAGAGCCTTGGTGCTAATAACGTTGCTGGTAAATAAATCCTTTAACGTGAGCTTTAAGCTGTGCAGATTCTCTTTTAATCAATCATTTTATGTTTGGTTGATCCAGCACCCATTAATAGGTTGTTCCTATTTTGTTTACCTTATCTGGAAAACGTAGCAGCATATTAGACGTTAGAGCCTGTGAAAGTGATACCCTGAAGATCTTTACTTTATCTACGAAATATGTCTCTGAGCATCATATGTCCCACAAATCCTGCTAAGGGTTAAAAACAGCTTAAGTGAGGATTATAACACTGCATCCACCTCTCTGTGCTGTATCTGCGATTTGGGAAACAAAAAGAAAGATGTGTGTTATCCATGAGTCTATTTCTTCTGTAGTCTGAAGGGATTAGTGTGGTTTTAACTTTGCGTCGGTATTTTGTGTTGGTATGAATCATATTCTAAGAGTAGGAGGCTGTTCCTCAACCTCTCGTTTTAGAACGAAATCCCTCTTTTGACATCTCATATGCCAAACCTGCAGGCTTTGGAGGAAGACAGAAAAAAATAGGAGAGGGGAAAAAAAAAAAAAAAAGAATCTGGCCTCAGCAAGGAGATGCCCGTTTCCATGGCAATGTGGAGCATGTGCTTATGTGTATGATGACCTCACACATACATATCCTCCTCGCCAGCCTCTTGTGCTGCCAGGATGCAGAAAGCGTGTTTGCCTCCACGTGGCACATGGTGCAGTCACATGTCAGGACCCACACAGGAGGAGCACTTTGTGCTCAAAACGTGAGAAGGGGCCGGCTCGGGTTTAAAACCTTTAGTGCCACAATGTGTCGTTAAACTTTATTACTTTCCAGGCTATATATAGTATAGTTTCTCTGTTTTCTGACTTTCTTAAGATGGAAAACATTGTCTGAGAGAAATATTATTATTTTTATAAAAAGTATTCACATTGCACCTTTCAAAACAAAGTTACAAGGTGCTTTACGAGTTAAAATTAAAGGCAAACAACAGGAAACAAGTAAAAGCTAATTTAAAGATCACACAGCATTAGAGCACAAATACAAAAATAAGAAATGTTACAGATGAGAAAGCCCATTTGTAATGATAAGGAGATTGCCACAGGCAGGTGGAGAGTGGAGAGTGGGAGCCCTGACAGAAAAGGTCACCTCTGATCCTCAGCCATGACTGCAGAATGGAGAGTAGGGCCTTCGCTAAGGATCTCAGGTTATTATGCAAAAGGTGTGAAATGTACAAGTCCAGAATGGGTCTTAGAAATCCTAAAATTAAATTTACTGGAATCCAGTGAAAGAGGAGCTTACATAACAATCTGCTCTGTAGCAGTAGAAGTGATAGTATTAAAGGTCCAGTGTGTAAGATGAAGTGAAAGGGATCTATTGGCAGAAATTTAATGTAGAATAATCCTCATGATGTTTTCACTAGTTCATTTCATCTAAATTGTACAAATTGTATTTTTCTTTACCCCAGAAAAGTCCCTTTATATTTAAATACTTTATATTTATATCGAGGGGACCCTCTCTACGGAGGCCGCCATGTTTTTTACATTAGTCCAGATTGGACAAACTAAACACCACTGAAGGCTGCCACAGGTTCTTTCATGTTTGGAAGGAGAGGGTGAGGGGGGGTTCAGCTGCAACATGCAACTTCAACACTAGATATCACAAAATTCTACACACTGTACCTTTAAGTGCTTTCCACCATGCAGAATCATCTGAGGGAAAGACGAGGCTTTCTTAAACAAAGCTCCTGTCTGTGTCAAGGTGTAGCATCAGACAGTGTGTGGTGGTCAGGAGGGAGCTGGGTCTGTATTTTGTGCAAATCACTGGATGTCACCGTTCTTTCTGTCATCAAATCTTTGTTCAGCAGAAGAAGCATCAGAAGCTTCATAAGGTTTTTTTTATGGCACGTCCTTATCTAAAACCCGCCCTCTGTTATTGATACCATCATAGTGGAGCTAAGTCTCTGACTGGCCACCTACTATCGTGGTATATAGACACACAGCATCTTTCTGGTCCTCTTAAACTGAATACACATTCCTCAGTGGGCTGCTGTCGCCCCCTAGTGTTAGAAAGGAGAACTTGCACATAGGTACTCAAACCTTTAGTTACACGTATATGCAGTTCCACATTTTGCCACAAGAGAGAAACATTATGTATTTTTCAATGTCCTCACTCCTCCTGTGACTCCATGATTCCACCATTATTCCTCTCACGTCTGTTTGTGGTGTATTCCACATTACGTGTTGGGTTTCCATGAAACATAGAAATGATGGCTTTCCTTGGGACAATCTTTTGAAAACTAACACAGACAAACACCTTTATTAGGACTAAGTATCGACTTCCATTCGAGTACAGGCACTTGAAAATGTATTAGAAGTTGAGTTGGACAGCTGAATCTCAATTAAGTCTGCACATTAACAGAGTGTGTTACTTCTCAAGCCACAAATCACACGGTTTGGTTTCGGGAGATGTGCTCACCTATGGTTCCTAGAGTCTGGAAGAGTAGAACAGGAGGTAGAGCCTTCAGTTTGGGTTCAGGAGGCAGACACCCTCACTTCATCTGAGGTTCAACTTCTCTGATAAAGTTTAAGGTTAGAGTTGAATCAGATGAGCTACTGGGGGAAACCCCCCCACTTGTGGTACCTGTTTAGTTGTAAGATCTCAACCTTTTTACATTTAATGCTTTGAGATGATGTATATTGTGATTTGAGTGATCTGTTACAGAAAGCTTAAGGACAAGCACATTGCTTGGTTCACTGCTCTTTCCAAGGCTTAAGGATTAAATGTCCAGTTAAATGTTACAGGTAGAAACATGAGTCAGTATTAGTTGACATAGAAATGACATTTTGACCATGAAACAATTGAATGGCGCACGTCGGGGAAGAGCTGAGCTTTTAATGAATGCATGAAAATCAAAACCTCATTGAGGATTTTCACGTTAATTAATTGTTACAGTGAGACATCCCACAAAGGAATTTCATTCAATTATTTAGAATTATGTCCACATGGATAAATCACAAAAATACAGTTTTAACAACTGACGTAGGAGTCCTGAAAGTATTAATCTGAACATTTAGGACCATAAAAATATTCGTTGTGGATCAGGTCCAACATTCACTCTTCTTCTCTTTGAAATGTTCAGTCCTCATTGACGGATGTTTTCCTCTGGGACAGCACCAGCTCCTTCACCTGAGGCGTCAGGGTCATAAGCTGCGCGCGGACGCTCCGGGCCTCCTCGTCCTGCTCCTCCACCCTGTCGGCCTTGCCCTCGGCCTCCTCCTGTTTCCTGCCCTGACTCTGGCTCACCAGCTGCTTCACCACCAGGCTCTGGTAGGCCGACAGCAGCTGCTGCTGCTCCTGCAGCAACACATGGACGCAAGACAACATTTCAGCAGTTTACCTCGACGAACAGACGCTCTATTACACCGACACTGCGGCAGATGGAGATTACAGACATCTGCTGAGTCTGAAAAGTGGATGTAAACAATCCAAAGATGAAGTGACGCGTTGCCAACATTTGCTGACGCATTTAGAGCACACTGAAGCACAAACACCATTATGACTGAGATAAAGATGTACTATTTCAGGTTTCCTACACCTGTTTATGGATCAAAAATAAACAGCCCCAAATGGATTTTGTCTGTTACATTTTCCTATTATGGTTTCCCCTTTGTGTCTCCACAGACCGTGTTTCCATGTCTACAGTGGAGGGACCTGCTATTTGCATACAGGTTCGTGCTGGGGACAATGCTCTGCAAATAAAATAACATAGGAATAGAAATGGGCTTGAGACAGTGATCTTATCCAGCTCGTTCAGACTGGTCAAACTTCAGCTGACCTTGAGGATGTAGAGAATAAAGACTGTATCTGACTGAGACTTTAGTTATTGGACATAGTCTTGGCTATTTACACATCTGCTCTTCAGGTTCTGAGCTTCAGCACATTTAAGTTCCATGGTTTATGTCTAGAATAAAGTATAGAAGGAAATATAGGTTAGATATATCATATTATTCACACAGTGGCCTAACTGATGGGCTTTGAAACGTATTGGCAACGTAATGTTTCTTTGGCAGCTGTTGATTCAGAGTGAGTTTGATCACAAAAAAGAGTTGGGATTTAGACTGAGGTGGAGTCTGTCAACATGATAATGATACAACAATATAAAAACAAAAATAACAATAATATAGCTATCATTAATGACTATTTCTAAATTATAATGTTAATTTTGACAGTACTGGTTGGGTTTTTGGTCACAGTGAGTGTCAGACATACTGTAGGTATTCGGCCTGTGAGGACGCCGATGATCTGAGGCACGCAGCGTCCCGGAGCGTGCAGCATGCAGTGGGTGCTGGCCTGAAACAGCAGCACACTGGTCAGATGGAGAACCAGAGCCGGGTCCTCCGTCTCCTTGAGCTGCTCGGTGAGGGCCTGACGGTGCAGGAACAGGGCCTGTCTGCAAACACACAAACACATGCGTTAACAAGTCACAAAATCTACAAACACCCACTCACATCTGGCTTCTGTCTGTTATGGTAATAGATACAATTAAAATTCACTCCCATGTCAAATGACTCTGCAGTAGACGCAGGTTATTATAGGCTCCTGCTCCGATCAGTATTGAGGGAAACATGACACCTGGGTGAATGTGCTAATTTGGCAAGAGAGTTAGGTGAGAGTGCCTTTGTTTGTGACGTTAAGCATAATGCACCAATTTGTGACCACATGCACGTACCGGTACTTTTACATATGTTTACCTCATAAAATTTAAATATTTGCTACATTTAATACAAGGATCTGATTTCATACCAACATGTATGTATTTCAGATAATAAGAAAAAACATAGAAGGCCCCTTGAAGAAAATAAAATCACACCTCTCCTTTTTCTTGTCTCCCTTCTTCAGCATGAATCCACACACTTCAGCACAGGTCTCTATGTTGGTCAAAAAGTCTTCAATCGTCTGATAAAAAACAAGGTGAAGACTGTTTTTATACTTTATCCATCACAGAGAAGCAGCATCTGATCATGCACCTGACAGGAAACATGCTGGACTCACTTTGCCATTCAGACAGTTGTGCAGCTTCATGAGAGGTCCTTTACTCTCCTCTGACAGTTTGCCCAGAATCTTCACTCTGACCTGAGGCGACATGTCAGAGACGATCAACATCCAGTCGACGTTAACAACTCCCACAGTGCATTTCACACAATGACACATGGTGTTAAAACTCTAACTTGATTTAAATCTGATGCCAGGCTCTCTGACTGATCATCGCTCCCTGAGGCTTCTTCAAGTCAAACACAGACGACATCAGCAAAAGTGTTTCCTGACCTCGCTGGCGATGGAGCTTGGGTTCTCCACAGACATCATCATGTCAGAAGCCAGGAAGTTCACCAGGATGTTGGTGACGTCTGTGCACACAGTCTTCAGGACGTGCTTTGCGATGTTGACCTGTGTCTCATCTGCAAGAACGAAATATATCTGTTACATTCATTATAGAATAAATTTAGGCTCCTATATAACGTGTGAATTGTTGCAGATTGCTCGAATAATGGCTCGTCTCCTACACATGCAACTAGTATCATTGTAAAATACAGAGTTTAACTGTACAACAGCTGTTAGCAAAGACAACAGGGTCAGCAAGGCCTGTGATGGATTATTAATGTTGCGTTCTACTCTCGCAGCTGAGGCTTGTTTTCTTCCAGAAGGGGATCATGTGATAAAAGCCTGACGAAGCAGCGAAAGCTACATTGTGACCAAAAAGACCCAATCAGCAAGAGACTGTGAGTCTACCTCATTGGTTCCAGACATGTCTGTTTCTGCCTGTCTGGAATAAAACACAGCCTTGGACAACCGAAACGGGTCAGCAGCAAACTTCTTTGTTTTAGTGGCTCTAAAACTCCAGAGTAGTGTGGACACCAGACGTATCTGTAGCAGAGTTGATGGGGTCTCCAAATAAAAACGTAGTAGTGTGGCTGTAGAGTGATCTGTCCAAGTGTACAGCTTTAGGCACAGGTGGGAATGAACCCACATTCTGAGATGGTCCAGGATGCCTGTGACCACATTCTTTAAGCTGAATGAATGCAACTGTGTCCTGGGAAACATTGAAGGACTGCCTACTCCTCTGACCCGCTACAGTTTCATATAATTCCAAAGTATTTCTACTTTTCTCAGTGATTCATGGATACTGAAATCTGTAGCCACCATCACAATATTTACACAGACCACCAACACCCTTTTTTTTTTTTCAAATGAATAAAATTTGGCTCAGTGTGAAGATGTAAAGAGCTCGTTTGACACCGAGAGGAGCAGTTTATTACTGAATTAATTACTTCAACTCTACCTTTGTTTTGTGTTAGTTTTGACAAGCATAATTAATTGTGTGATGCATATTTCTAATCTTAACATAACCTGATCATTGACTTTTTTCATTTGTGGCAGGAGCATTTACCAGAGAAGAACTTGCTGCCCTTTTCAAAGAGCCGGATGTTGTTGTACAGGTTGGTGATCTCCTCCTGCAGATCCTTCATGCTCTTCTTCTTGTTGGCCCCTGATGGGGAGCTGGTGGAGGACATGAACACTGTTCGCATCACCTCCTGATAGGCTTTAGTGAGAGGCCTGTGGAGACATGAACAGTCAGAGAATGATATTGCTGTTCTCCCTGATCTTTGGAGAAGTTCCCACTTCAGACAGAAACCTGTGCGTTACCTCACTAGATCCTCCGCCAGCTCAGAGAGGATTTCTTCAGGGCAGTCGCTCACTCTCTGTTCTAAAACAGCCACAATCTCCTCCGGGACCATAAAGGGGGCCTCAGTCTGCCTGCTGCGATCTTGGCAAAGGTAATACACAAGCTAATTAGTCTCACAGGAAAACTACATTAAACTTTGTCTTCCATTTTGCAAAAAAAAAATGCTTAACAACCCATGGGAGAGATTTCAAGCCAACCAGCCATCACGCTCTTGTTACAGTGAAATGCCTAACTGAAAAGGCTTAATGTGCATACAGTGACATTACATCCCGGTGAAGATAAAATAGCTTTGTGGCCCTCAGCATACTTTGCTGTGAAGTTCCGTTTTCCTCATCACTGTCCTCATCTCTTCGGCCTTTCTTCTTGGTTTTACGAATACGGATTTCTCTGGCATTGCCTCCTCCGCCCGATTTCACACTGCCGCTGCCCTCTGAGAGACAGAGAGTTAAGAGGTGTCATTTAATTTAATAGATAATTAAAGAGAATGCTGTGTGTCATGGTGAGATGGGGCTATTTTAACAAACCTGTCGCCTTCTTCCTGCGTTCAGCTTCTCTCTTTTCCTTTTTAGACGGTGCTGAGTTCTCGGTCATAGACGACTGCTTCAAATCATCCTCAGTTATCAGAAACACAGGATTGTTCTTGACTTCCTAAAAATCACATCACACAAAACACAAACACTGTTCTTTTACAGCTGTAAAAATCCCCTATGTATGATCATATGTTTTCTGTGGAGATGTGTGACAGTGGACCTTCTGAGCTTTCTGCTGCATGGCCTCGTCAAATAACGACAGGCAGTTGCTGATGAATTTCTCACTGACGACCACCGTGCCTCCCAGTACTCTGGCAGAAGACTGGATATCTGTATTCCTCATAGCCTGGTTGATCAGGATCCCAACGTCCTCCATCGACAGGCAGCTAGGCAGAATCGGCTACAGCAGCCAGAGTCAGATGAGAGAAAATTAAGTCATCTTTATTTTTTTTAAACAAAAAAAATAACAATGAATGTAAAAGCAGTTAACTTAAGCCATGTGTGAGCACCTGTATGTCAGTCCAGGTGGCAGAGCTGACAGCTTCCTCCACAGAGGCCTCCACCTGGTCGACCAGAGTCTGACCCACACAGGCGGCCCTGAGGAACAGCAGCTTGTTGGACTTGAAGCGTTTTTTGATGTAGCTGGGGGGGTCGGGGATCCCCAGTCTAATCAATGCATCGAACTCTGTAGGAAGAGAACTTCATCAGTTACACACAACCCTACTGCAGACCCAGAATGATACGAGGGGGTCATGGGTTACCAGGAGTCACGCCATGAGCCTCCTTTAAACAGTTAAGATTACACCGAACCAAAGAAAGCTGACATAACACCGCCCCTGGGTGTGAGTTTAGATATCATGCCTACGTTCTGGAATCAGATGCATGACTCACACTGTGTCACATCTTTTTTGTAATTATATTGTTTTATGTCTTTGACTAACACATTCAAATATATTACATTCATTAAAAATTACATCCAAGC